TATTCTATTCTATTCTATTCTATTCTATTCTATTCTATTCTATTCTATTCTATTCTATTCTATTCTATTCTATTCTCTCAATTTATTACAATGCCACTCAAACATTGGATGGAAGACAGTTATGTCTGCCTACTCTTTTTTTCAATTTCTCTATCTCTTGTTTTTAGAACAGAAAGTTGTATTACCTCCCGATGTACTCTAATGAATTCACGGGGATCTCCTTTTGCCCATGGAGGAAGGATAACATCTCCAAGTTTGGTGCCATTCTGTTTGCAACCTATAAAACAAAAATATACTTATATCTTGAATACTGTATAATTCTCTGTACTTGCATGCCTCCTTGGAAGATTGGAATATTACTCTATCTATAAGAGAGGAGCATAAAACATTAATTTTATTTTCTGAAAGCAATAGGCAGGCCTCGGTGTGTTTTATTTTCTTATAAGAAGGCCGAGATCCACCACCTAGCGCTTAATATAAAGAAAATACACAATTAAAAGAATATGACTCTTTCAGGTCAAAGATTAAGGATAGTTCTTATTTGGGGAACTCTATTAAACTATGAACCCGTTTCTAAGTTTCTTCCAAGCTATTTTTACTAAAACAAAATAAAGTAGGTGGTTCCTATTCTTAAACTATTATCATGACATTATTAGGTGGTTTCTTGCCAACAAGTCATAAATGTACCACAAAGCATTCCTGGTCTCTTTTTTGCACACCTCTATCTAAACCAGGGGTTCCCAACTCCTGGGCCATTGCTCATGAGTGGGCTGCAGCCTGTTTGGAATCGGGTCGTGCAAGTGGTAGGTGAGTGTGTGCACGCAGTTGTATTTGCAGGAGTGGCAGGTGTGCAAATGTAGCTTTGCACGTGAACATATGCTTACTGCTTGCACAGAACTAGCAGTAACACTTAGACTTACATACTGCTTCACAGTGTTTTACAGACCTCTCTAAGTGGTTTACAGAGTCAGCCTACTGTCCCCAACAATCTGGCTCCTCATCTTACCCACCTCGAAAGGATGGAAGACTGCGTCAACCTTGAGCCTGGTGGCATTCGAACTGCTGAACTGCAGGCAGCCGGCAGTCAGCAGAAGTAGTATGCAGTACTGCACTCTAACCACTGCACTCAGAACCATCCCTTCTTCACCCCCTCCGCCAGGCCACCAAGCCAGAAACGTTGGGGGATCGCTGATCTAAACAATATAACTCTGATCCATCCAGGTATAGAATTATGCAAGAAATAAGCAAGGGACAGGGTGTGTGTGTGTGAAGCAATTATTTAATTACTGGAAAACACATCGTAGTTGGAAGTGGCTCAAGGCAAATGACTCTCTGATACACTGGAGTAAAAGAAGGAGGAAAGGTATATGTCAGGATTCCAGCACTTAACCCCATTTAAATAATGAGTCTCGAGCCAAACTTCCAAAACTTCAAAAGGATTTATTGGGAGTTAACATGCTGGCACTGCCTGGGTATAGCTGACTCTGAGACACATCATTCATTGTCACCCTTGATCCTGGTTTTCCCTCCACCTCCTGGGTGTATTCTCCAATGGGAGACATCCATAGCCAAGAGTCATCAATCATGCTCTCCAGTTAGAATCTTGCACGCTAGAAACTTCAGTCACTTGGTTGCTATCTTTGAAAACATTTGTGGAATGCAGTTTCGGTTTTGCAAGCTGCTACACTGCTCCCCCCTCCCTTTCTGTTGACAACTTTAAAAAGACCATAGGAATATTTTATAAGTTGACACTACAGCTTAATTAGATTTGGAAGATTCTGTTAATATAACCCAGGGGTAGTCAACCTTTTTATACCTACTGCCCACTTTTGTATCTCTGATAGTAGTAAAATTTTCTCTAACTGCCCACTGGTTCCACAGTAATAGTGATTTATAAAGTAGGGGACAAAACCCCTACTGCCCACCCCTGAAAGCTGGAACACCCACTAGTGGGTGGTAGGGACCAGGTTGACTACCACTGATATAACCAATCTCAGTGAAGTGTTTTTCTAGTCTTCCAGTGGAATTTAGGTTTTGGTTTTGTTGTTCCTAGTGAAGCGGACAACATCCTTGTTTTCCAACCACAACATAAATCAGTTTTATGTTCTTTGGACCACAATATCTAAAGAATATACAGGTACTCCTCAAATTTATGATCATTGGTTTATTCACTATTTGAAGTTACAACGGCACTGAAAAAAGTGACTCATGATTGCGCCTCATATTTATGATTCTTGCTGTATCTCCACAATCAAATTGGCACGAATTTACAAAGGTTTTAGTGCCCCGGGATCAGGGGTCACCATTTCTTGACCTTCCCATAAGCAAAGTCAGTGAGGGAAGGTGGGTTTGATTAATGACCATCTTGATTCACTGAACAACTGTGATGATTCACTTAACAGCTGTGGCCAAAGCATTGTAAAATTGGGCAGGTCTCACTTAACAGCCACCTTGATTATTATCAAGGGAAATTCTGGTCCCAGTTCCCATCATAAGTTGAGGACTGCCTGTAACTGAAAAATAGTTTCTCTCACCTAGATCGAAGTTGTTAGAATTAAGCAACAACTCTGGGAGGTAGAAGAATTCTGGGATGAGCTCCTTGACATCAGCCATATTGTGCTTGGACGCAGAGTACCAGGCTTCCCGCACACTGTGAAACATTCTGTCAGCCAAGTCGAAGTGGCCACCCTATGGAAGGAAAAGGATATAACAGAATAACAGAGTTGGAAGGGACCTTGGAGGTCTTCTAGTCCAACCCCCTGCCTAGGCAGGAAACCCTATACCACTTCAGATAAATGGTTATCCAACATCTTTTTTTAAACTTCCAGCGTTAGAGAATTCACAACTTCTGGAGGCAAGTTCTCCCACAGATTAATTGTTCTAACTGTCAGGAAATTTCTCCTTAGTTCTAGGTTGCTTCTCTCCTTGATTAGTTTCCACCCATTGCTTCTTGTACTGCCTTCAGGTGCTTTGGAGAATAGCTTGGCTCCCTCTTCTTTGAAGCAGCCCATTAGATATTGGTACACTGCTATTATGTCCTCCCTAGCCCTTCTTTTCATCAAATTAGATATCTTCATTGAAATAAATAAATAAAAATAATACCCATCTTTCATCTCCTCCCATATAAGTCGGGGATGAGAGCAGCATGTGAACTTAGCTAAAGATCAATCAATAATATTTATTCAGTCAATGACCTGCAAAATTTTAAAGAACAAAAACAGAGCGAAGAAAACTAATTCAACTAATTCAAACCCACAACTAGCAAAATAAATCACACAGCGTTCACTCCTCTAGTGCTATGTTACCCAGGTGGTTGATAAGTAAATAAATAGCTATACTTCAAAACATAAAAAAATAATATTTTGAAAAAAGATCCGTTATGGACTATTAATTTTGGGATACAGTATCACTTTCTGATTGGGGATAGTCCAGGGAGTTCTCAACTTACAATCATTCGTTTAATGACTGCTGAATGTTATGACAGCACTGAAAAAAAGTGATTTATGATCAGTCTTCACACTTACGACCAATGCAGCATCCTCACGGTCACGTCATCAAAATTCAACCTCTTGGCAACTGACTCATACTTATGACAGTTGCAGTGACCTGAGGTCATGTGTCACCTGTTGTGACCACCTTATAACACTTAATAACTATGTTATTAACTTAACAACTGCAGTGATTCACTTAATAACTGTGGCAAGAAAGAAAGGTCGTAAAATGGGCAAAACTCACTGAACGACAGTCGCGCTTAGCAACAGAAATGTTGGGCTCAATTGTGGTCATAAGTCAAAACTCAGGACAAAGTCACTCATAAGATTTACTCCAAAGTTGGCAGGACTAATTTACATCTAAAAACAAATTTGCCCACCGTCTGGCCACACACATAACTCACAACGTTCTGGCATGATAAATAACAAGGACAAAAAATACCTAACAGGCTTAAGAGTGACAAATGGCTGCATGGAGCAATGCGCTGATGCAGACTTCAGTATGCTGAGAATTATGTTGCAAAGCAAGTACACAGAATGGAAGGAAGCTGTATATTTTACCTGCAGTCTTAAAAATATCTGTGTGAAAGGTTCCATTCGCACAAGGTATGAAGCTACTATCATTGCTGATGAATAGTGGGTGCCATAATGATAGGCTGGTGTTTCACCTGAAAGAAAAAAATATTAATCAAAGCATGAGTGAAATGAAAGGTAAACTCGACCAGTTCAGTAGCTTCAGTGAATGAACAAGCTTTAGATATTTTGAAGGAGGAGAAGGTAATAAAGTAATTTAGTTCAAAGGTTCTTCAATGGAGCTGCAGCAAATTTCCCTGAAAACTACATTTATATATCCTATCTCAGTGTTCTCCAATCTTGGTAACTTTAAGACTTGTGGACTTCAATTCTCACAATTCCTCAGCCAGAAAAGCTGAGGAACTCTGGGAGTTGAAGTCCACAAGTCTTAAAGTTGCCAAGGTTGGAGACACCTGTCTTATCTCATTAGAAAGATTATTAGGGTGGATTCTCAACCCTAATTAAACCAAATGAAATTGATGAAACCAGGTGTCAAACTCATGGCCCGCAGGCTGGATGCATCACACGCTGGCCACGCCCACCTCCGGTTTAGTGAAGAGGGGAAAGGTTGCGATACTTCACGTGACAACAACATGACACCATGGATTTGACACTCTGGATGTGGAGAAAAATGAGCTATACCATATTAATATTAAAACTCTTACACTTTAGAGAGCATATCCTCTATTTTATCTATTGTTTCAATGTTTTATGTCACTAAGATTCTGACTCAAAAGAAGTAGGAACTGGAGTAAATACAACTTATAAATCATAGACCATTTCACTTTTAGTTTTATTCATTCATCTCTTGATTTATTACATAATGGAAGAATGTCACACGGCTAAATCTATGGCTATAGAGAAAGAATGGGGAAGAGTTATGTTGGGACATAGGGCTATCCTAAATGCTGAAGGATTTTTTATTTATTTATTAGCATGTGTATCCAAAGGCTAACCCTGAAGCTTGGCTTATACCCAGTCGATTTTTTTTACTACTGGTTCTGTGGGCGTGGCTTGGTGGGCGTGGCAGGGGAAGGGTACTGTAAAATCTCCAGTCAGAGGTGGTATTTGCTGGTTCTCCGAACTACTCAAAATTTCTGCTACCGGTTCTCCAGAACTGGTCAGAACCTGCTGAATACCACCTCTGCTTATACCAATTCTAGGATACTGTGATTCATTTTTTTAAAACTGTCTTCTTTTTAAATTTAATTTGGAAGGAATTGGCTGGAAATGCTTTTAAGTTAGTGTTTTATAAACTTGACAATTTTTAAAATATTTGGATTTCAACTCCAGAATTCCCTATCCAGCATGAATTTGGGGAGTCCACACACCTTAAAGTTGCCTAGTTTAAAAAACAATGTTCTAAGTGAAGAAATGCCTGGCAATTAATACCCATTTTTATTCTCACAAAGGGCACAAGTCATTTCACTTAAAGCTCATCTTTCATTGAAATGGATTTCTGAAAATACTTCGTAAATGGAAAGTCAGAGGATTTGGGTTTACTTCAAAGTTGCTTATTAGTTCAGTGAGAAATTGGCTTTTTTAAATAGAACCACTATACAATCATAGCCACTTTTTTAAATGATATCCATGACATTAGTCAAAATTCCAAACCAACTCTACCAGCTAAAACAATTTGCTTATATTTTGTTTGAAGTATTGATGTAATATCTGCTATTAAGATACAAATTAGCATGATTTGTAAAATAGTAAAGATAATAGATTACGACAAGCTTTTTTTAAAAAAATAAACATGTTATATAGAGATAGTCCTCGACTTATGACAATTGAGACCAAAATATCTGTTGCTAAGCAAGGCAGTTGCTAAGGCAGTTTTGCCCCATTTTACAATCTTTCTTGCCACAGTTGTTAAGTGAATCACCGTAGTTGTTAAGTTAGTAAATCTGGCTTCCCCATTGATTTCTGATTCTCAGAAGGTCACAAAAGGTGATCATATGATCCTGGAACACTGCAACCATCATAAATATGAGTCAGTTGCCACAGGTCTGAATTTTGATCATGGACTATGGGGAAGCAACAATGGTTGTGTGAAAAATGGCCATAAGTCACTTTTTTCAGTGCTACTGGAACTTTGAATGGTTACTAAACAAACTGTTGTAAGTGGAGGACTACCTGCATGCAGAAATTCACACAGCCGACAGATTCCCAGGCTAAGAACTCACCGTTCGGATCTTCCCAGTCTTTGTAGCGCTTTTTATATTGAGCTAATCTCTCATCAGTCTGGGCCCCCATTGGTTTGGCCAAGTTTCTAAATGTCTTTGGGTTGTTAAGATCCAGTTCCTTGAAAAGAAGGAGAAATAAAAGCCATCCAAGGATTAGCAAAGGCCACTAAAATTAGAGGAAGACGGCAATCAAACTTGATAAGACAGACAAATTCATCTTGGATTAACAGTAATTCTCTGACATAAGCCTTTATCACAGATGGATCTCTAGCACTCTTTAAGTCCAAAATCTCATTATGAATTGATAATTAATTCACTAACAATATTAATAACATAATTATAACTATAATCATTATTATTATTTAACATTATTATTATTATTTAACTTTAATAATACAGTGCATTTTAACAGTGAAGATTAATCAATTAAGAATGGACATCTCATTTTAAGACAATAGCAATAGCACTTATATATCGCTTTATAGTGCTTTACAGCTCTCTCTAAGCAGTTTACAGTATCACCATATTGCCCCCAACAATTTGGGTTCTCATTTTACCCACCCTGGAAGGATGAAAGGCTGAGTCAACTTTGAGCCTGGTGGGATCTGAACTGCCAAATTGTAGGCAGCTGGCTGCAGCAGAAGTAGCTTGCAGTATTGTACTCTAACCACTGTGCCACAGAGGCTCCTATAAGCTACTCTTGTTTTCTACAGCAATTCAAGTTATATCTAGCCACAGAATTTAGAATGAATGCTGAAGGATCATTTCAAATATCTAGATCAGAGGTCTCATTCTCGCGGCCCACGGGCCAATTGCGGCCCGCAGGACGATATCCTGTGGCCCCCACCATGATATGAGAGTATAATATTAGTGCGTTCTCCATGCGTCGCTATCTGGCTAAACATTTCTATGTGCGGCCCAGCCTCACCCAGACTCTGCCTCCAGCGGCCCCCAGGTAAATTGTGTTTGAGACCCCTGATCTAGATGCTACTCTTCCATCCTTTTGAGGATCCAGATTGAGGATCCAGATTATTGGGGGCAATATGCCAACTCTGTAAACCACTTAGAGAGGGCTGTAAAGCACTGTGAAGCGTTATATAAGTCTAAGTGCTATTGTTATTATGTATTAAGTAAGCAAAAAATTTTCTAGCCCTCATTAGGAATAAATGTAGGCTTATTTTCAACTTTGCCATGCATTGGAGTCTGTATTTACCTCTGAATCGTAGTCAGCAAGGATCCATGGAAAGACAGGATACTGCATAAGGTCATTATAGGATCGGCCCGCCAAAGTGTTTAAGTGCATCAGGTATTGGAAGTTACTGATTTCACCTCTCTTGAGAGAGAGAGAGACAGAAAGAGAGACGCCAACATTTGAATTCATTTGTCAATTACAAAACTTCAAAATGTACATTTGTCTACTGCTTTATATAACCTGAACATAAAGCTCCAAGATTGTATTTTCAATATTCTGTTTCACCCCAATGTAAAAATTAAACAGAACTATTTATCCTTACCTCCCATCTTTGTGTAACAGATTTCTCCCCTACAAGAGTGCTCAGCAAGCCAGATCTAATGAGGAAAATTTAATCCATTGAATTATCAGAATTAATAATCCAACAGAACAAAAATTGCAAGGAACAAACATATTTAAGTTAATACAAATGCTTAATTTTACATTCAAATTCAGAAGTGTCACTAATTCATTCACTAAAAACTTGAATTTCAATTAATTTTATTCAGAATTGGTCTGAATAATTTTATTAAGATGTAGTATGATATTGAGATAGGGAAAAATCTCTAATTCCTGATCGAATTTCAAATCTCACTGGATGATCTTGGGAAACTTCTCAGTTTTATCTATTTTAAAAGAGCTGCTAGAGAAGACATGTTTACACTTCTGAGCTCATAAGAAATTATCAGTATCTAGGTATAGAGGTTTGAGCTGGTGAATAGTTAAGAAAAATGATCCTATTTTCTGGAAGTGAATAATATAAGAAAGGAATCCACTAATTCGTATTTTATAAACATTTTTTTTTCAAAAAAATTCCCAAAATTTGCTTTATTTACCTTTATTTAGAACAATAAATGTTAGATAAGAAAGTACAGCAAAATTCAGCAATTTTTTTTCTTAAATATTACATTTTAAAGTTGAGTCATAATAATATCAACCATGTTCCAACAATTATATTTTGACTTAATAAACTGACAGGTGCTTCCTAAAACTACTGATTAAATTAGTTTCTGGTTTAGATGAAAAATAGAAAATTATAATTTAACTGAATACTGTTTTTTAAACTTCCATGCCAATCTGTTACAACATTTGCTTATAAACTGAGCTTTGAGTTGAATTATACAGAAGCAGACACTGTAAATGATTACCCTTGTTCTACGCTGGTATTAGGTCTTTGTCCAGAGACGGACTCTGAGCTGTCAGTCAAAGATGGAACTACAGCCAAAAACCTTTTAAAAATTAAGAAAACAATGCAATTAACAAACCAAACATTCGGATTAGAATTGGACATCAACTCAATAGCAACAAATTAACAGAACACATTCATTAAATAAATGTTACACTTTAATGTTATCACCCACTATATGTTAGCTGCAGATACTCAACCAAGAAAAAAATTATAGTACCTTTGATAGACTTTATTTCTCACTCCTTTTTGAAAAGCCAGGAGGTAGTTGCGTCCATCACCTGAGAATACTTCAACAGCAATTGGCTGTAATAGAAAATGCCTTTTTAAAATGTGTTCCAAGCAGCTGACATTTTTATTCAGCCAAGAAATAAATTTAATCTTTGCTTGAATGAAACAATAAATAAAATAAAAATACCTATATGCAGTCCTATCTGTAAAATATTATTCCCCATTAAACACACAGGATGTTTTTAGATATCACATATCAAACAAGCATAGTTTTGCATACCCACCTGCAACAAGTATCTTCTTTTATGCACTTCTTTGATGTCTTCATAGGCAAATATACTGCATGTTCTTTTGAGTTGACTTGGACCTTGTCTTGCGCCTCGGGGTATAATAGGCTCATGCATACTGTAGAAATAAGTGAGAGTAAGATGGAGGATAAAAGTGAAATTATCAATCTACAATGTTGTTGAGTAGATTTTACTTTCTTCATTTTGCACATTTTGTTTCAGTGATCATCATATTTTTAGTGTTATTTATCTCATCGTGCCACGAGTAGAATTAAGGGCAATTTTTTTGTACATTTTGCATATAAATTTTCACATATTTCACATTTTTCTCTTGCACTATCCACTGTGGAAAAGCATTACTCACTTTGGAGGCAGGGTCTCAATGTCCCGTATTTCCCGTGTAGCAGTCATGGTGAATCCATCAATCACATAAAAGTGTTCTTTACCAAAGAGAAGAAGTCCCTCACTGGTGTCCAATCCTTGAACCCGGGCACAACGATACATGTGTTGTATCTGTAACATTATTTAATCAAGAGCAGATAAAGTCTTATTATATAAAATAATATTATATATATGGTATTCAGCTTTGTAAGAAAACTAATATTATATATATACATGCATACACAACACACACATATAATTTATTATTTTGTTTTAGTAAAAATAGCTTGGAAGGAACTAGAAACTATAAGAAAATAAAACACATCAAGGCCTGCCTACCAGTATTACTTTCAGAAAATAAAATTAACGTTTTATGCTCCTCTCTTATAGATAGAATAATATTCAAATCTTCCAAGGAGGCATGCAAGTACGGAGAATTATGCAGTATTCAAGATATAAGTATATTTTTGTTTTATAGGTTGCAAACAGAATGGCACCAAACTTATTATAATACACACACACACACACACATTCTAAAAATGTGAGTTCCAGGTATACTTGTAAAAGAAGAAACAGACATCTTGCGATCTCTAGAACTTAACATTACATTTATTGTACATACTAAGCAGACGCTGATGAAAGCTTAGTAAGTACAATAAACATAATTTTAAGTTCCGGAGATCGCAGGATGTCTGTTTCTTATACACACACACACAAAAAAAATCTCTTTTTGGTTTTGGAAGAAAATCACTTTAATTCAGGATGAAGTTTCAAGGAAGAAGAATCCTTAAATGACCATTTTATTTCAAGTATAATGACTATAGGTTCACCACCATTTGTGTAGTGATTGTTCAAAGTTACAATTTGAAAAAAGCAACGTGTTACTTTTGCACGCTTAACCGCTGTTGCAGCATTCCCCATGGTCACATGATCAAAATTTGGGTGCTTGGCAACTGTCATATATTTATGATAGCTACCCTATCCTGGAATCATGTAATCACCATTTCTGGCCTTCCCTGCTGGTCAACACTAAATTGGTGGAATTCTGGGGGTGGGGGGCACTTGAAGTGTTTGTGGACATGTAATTCTAGGCTGAGTCCTCTCTTGACTCCCCCCTCGGCTCTGCTGCTGCTTCTCCTAAACTTGACTTTGAACAAATGAATTTGGTGGATAGCTGCAGAAATCCCATGAACTATAGAAAACTCAAAGTATACCGGGCTCTCTGAAAATAAACTATTTGTGAACAATTAAGAAAATGTTAATAGAATATAAAATAATTTAACTTGGGTTTCAACGATATGGTAAAGAAAAAAGTTAAATGAATAATGTTGTTTATAAAGACTAGTAATAATTGAATATTAAAAATATTTTAAAAATATAATTCTATGCTGCCTAAAAATACTCAAAATATTTTTATAACAAATCATGTAAATACCCACACAGGTACACTTGATGGATTAAAATTGTAAATGACATTATTTTAGCAGCCTATTCAAAAAGAACAAAAAATACCAAGCTATTAAAAATATGATAGTCTTGGGTAAATTGGCTGCTTTGAAAGAGATGATTCAAGATTATTATTTTACTTCCAATAAAATAAAAATATGGAGCAATTAATTCCTACAAAATCAAAACTAATTTGTTATAAATTTTATTAGTAATATTATATTTGAAGTACATCAATAATACATTTTATTTAAAATATTTAAATCCATTATCTCTAGCTTTATGTATGCCTATATATTCAAAGTTCGCTCAGCAGTTCCCTGAAGTCTGACCATTATTTTTCATCAACTTGCTAGTCAACTTTGATATAAATATATTTAAAGGAGCTTAGCAGACAAAGATGAGCTTAAACTTCAGTGAACCACTGACATCCAATTTAATATTGTTTGTCAAGTCATAAGTTTAATTATTCTTATGGCAAACAAGTAAAAAGAAGAGCTTAACTGGAGATTAAATCAATCCCTAGGCTATTAGCATTCATTAGTATTCACAGTTGTAACAGGATTTTCTGTGGAACATTCTGTCTCAATTAATAAGACAACTTGGTAAAAAGATTCTTCCTTTCATAAAATCACACTTAAGTCCATGTTAATTTGAAAGCGGATGTCTAATTTTAGGAATCTAGTAGTAATATAATAAGAGCTCTGGTGGTGCAGTGCTTAGAATGCAGTATTGGAGGCAGATTCTGCCCACAGCCTGCAGTTTGATCCTGAAAGGCCTCGCAGTCTTAACTGTCCACCCTTCCGAAGTGTGGAAAATGAGGACCCAGATTGTTGGGGCCGATATGCTGATATTGTAAACCACTCAGACAGTGCTGTGCGGCGGTATATAAGTCTAAGTGTTACTGCTATATTCAAGAAGAAGATCTTGCGATGTATAGAACGGAAGTCAATATTATGTACCTTCTCTCCTTCTTCAAGCAGTCGAAGCAAAGTTGTGTTATCCGTTTTTTCCTCTTCATCTATTGAGCTGCTCTCAGCTATTTGATCCTGGAGTTGCTCCTGGTTCTCCTCATCACCCCCATCAGGTGCCGAACGAGATCGCTTTAATGGCGGTTTAACGAGAACTGCATTGTATAACAGAAGGCATCAACCACATGTTTATACTGTCAACAAGCTTTGTACCGTAGCTGAGTAGAGCTGCAAATCAGCAAGTCAACTGAAATAAATGCCTCTTTTACTGCCCTTTTGAGATTTATGGCCATGCCTGTAAAGATCACATCTAAAAGAAGACAAAATTTCAGTGCAACCAGCAGCTACTGATCCAATAAAAAAAAAAAAGTTAAATCAACATCTCACTTTTACTAAGGGCTGCTTGGTCAAAGGCAGTCAATAGTTCCATTGTGTTGCTTAGCAATGAAACTTAATAAATAATCTTGGCAAATCACAATCTGTCCTCTTAAGCTACTGAAGAGGCCTGCTTTGGGTATAAAATGAGGACATCAGATGTGTAATCTTGAGCACCAAAAGACAAGTGAGGTAAAAACGTGAACTGATTGGATCCCACGTGGACCACAAGATACAGTGAAAGCTACAGATGGATGGGAAAGGTTTAGAAATTTGGCCTGGGCAAACGGTGGATTGATTCGTCCATCCATATAAACAAGAAAGAAAGGATGATAGAATAAAAGTAAAACAACAACCAAAAAAAAGAGTGCAAGCCACCTTTGCAATATTTTATGCCTCCTTAGGAGTGTCAAACTCGATCACATCATGTGACATATTGCGACGGTTTTTGCCTTTGCGGAGCTGGGGTGGGTGTGGCCCGCATGTGAGGCATCCGGCCCTACACGGCGAAATTAGAGGATCGTATTCTTAATAAAATACCATGACTGCCTTTGGATACTGATTACATATTAAAAGGTGGGGGGGATGGGACATTTCAGCGAAAAAGAAAGTCATTTTGGCCCTAAATTAGAAATGTAAAAATGATTCAGCAAAGGAAAATATTTGTAGCTCAGGGTTGAGGTGAGGGGTTCTTGGTGCTGTCTGAACTTGCCTGTTTTCTTGCAGACATTTCATTACCCAGACTAGGTGTTAGTAAAGGAATAGGGTTTGCTCTCAATTTACATTCCGCTGGCTTGCCCGGTCAGTTTCTTTGACAGGGCAAGATTCTTTGGTTGGGCTGTTTGGTTGGGCAGTTTTACTGTTGACATTTGGATGAAAAAAATGATTCACTTCTGCCTGTTTATATAAAATAATAGTTCATTAACTATCTCCCCAAAACAGAAAGGCGTCCTTGATAGTTTTAACTTGCCAAATAGACACCAATTCCTAACTGAGGCGGGGGTGGGGGAAACAGGAAAGAAAACACAACCTTTAACTTTTGCGATCGTATCTTCGCCGTGTTCGGGCTCTTGTTGTGCAGCTTCCCCTTCAGAACTCTCTTCAATGGCATCTTGAAAGACAGCTGGGTTTCCAGAAGCCAAGCGCATGTAATATTCTTTGCTGTCATAGCTTATAGCTCTTCGATATCGTGCAGGTTTCTTAAAATATTTGAATAAGAAGATTAAGCAAATTAATACATGTTCTCAAGAAAATCCACCAGGGTGCACTCAGAACCTCCTGACAGTCTACAGGTTATAATGGAGACGTGCCAATTGAGAGATAAACAGAACTTTCAGGCAATCAGTTAGGTTTGGAATTAGAAATTGAAACTATTAAGAAAAGGCAGTGTGACATTACCGTACAATCTCAAACCATTAGTGTGTAGCACAGACAGAGTTAAGAGAGAGGTTGTATTAGATCCGCATTTCCCATTCTCAGAAACTTTTAGATGTGTGGATTTCAACTCCCAGAATTCCCCAGCCAGCATGTGTGGACTGCAACTCCCAGAATCCTCAATCAGCACGCTGTCAGCCTTGGAAGCCATTTTTTACTTGAAAGCTTCGAGGCTGCCACATTCAGTGCCTGGGAATATGGGAGGGAGGATTTCATAATGAGGTAGAAGATTAGACTCAACAACATTCTTTCTCAGAGAGTCAAGGACATGTTGCCCTGCACCTGGAGGGGAGTGACTGGAGGGATGTCTCCAGCTGGAACGAAGATTTGATTGGGCCATGAGATGGACTGATGGCTGCAGGGGTTGGATCTTTGATTTTCTTTTGGGAAGGGAAAACCCGGGACTCTCAGATTCGGGTTTTCCCAGATGTGCCAATATGATAACTGTAAAAAAAAAAGGGACTTTGAAGAAATGTCTATCTCTGAGTTTATTGGTTTGGAATTGGTTAGTTGAAATGCTGACACATGCATGGGATACCAACTTCCAGAACTCTCCAGCCAATCTGTGCATGGAGTTGAAGTCCATGCATTTAAAAGTTGCTGAGGTTGAGAAATGCTGTATTAAATCAAGACGTGAAGAGAATACAGCAACACCCCCTGAAGTGTATATTTACTGTAGATCGTTAATCTTACAACAACAGAATTACTGAGAAAGCACAAAAAGCCAACCATGGAAGCTTTGTTACGATTGCCTAACATGCAGAGAGATTTCTAGCCACTCGGCCACCCGTGGATATCTTTTTCTTTCTTTACCTTTTGGGGAATGGCATCGTCAGATGTCTCCGGAGCCTTACTTGAGAAGTCAAACTGAAAACAGGGCATTAAATATGAAAACATGAGGGGAAAATAAATCACTCTAAAGAACGAATGTTGGCACGATGATGGCATGTTCACTTGGCTAAAACTATCAGAATCTATTTTGATCAAGCCTTCAAAATACCACAATGAATCTTTCTTTTCTCTGCATCATGGATTGTGAGGGGGGGGGGAATGACACATCAGCATCTGATCCATTAAAAATAGTTAGAACTGAGGTTAAACTCTATTTCAGGGGTGTCAAACTCGCGTCATCATGGTGGCGTCATGTGACATATCACAACTTTCCCCCCTTTCGCTAAACTGGCTGTGGGCTTGACCAGCTCGTGACGCATCCAGCCTGCGGGCTGTGAGTTTGACACCCTCGCTCTACTTAATTGCAAATGGATATATGATCTGAATCAATAATCTAGGAAAAAAATTGCACATAGAAGTAGTCCTCGATTTACAACAGTTTGTTTAGTCACCGAGGTTATAACAGCACTGAAAAAAAGTGACTTATGACAGTGTTTCACACTTACAACCATTACAGTATCCCCATGGCCATGTGATCTAAATTCAGGCGCTTGGCAACCGGTTCATATTTATGACAGATTGCAGTGTCCCAGGGTCATGTGATCACTTTTTGTGACCTTCTGATAAGCAAAGTCAATGGGGAAGCTGAATTCATTTAACAACTGTATTACTAACTTAACTACTGCATTGATTCTTTTAATTGTGGCAAGAAAGGTGTAAGATGCGGTAAAACCTAAGAACTGTCTTGCTCAGCAACAGAAATTTTGGGCTCAATTGTGGCCATAAATTGAGGAGTATCTATTTAGTATTTTAGCAATTCTCAATTAATAATCTCAATGTTCAGTCTGCAAGTACAACAGATTATTAAAAGCCAGGCTTCTAACATCCAAATATGGATTATCACCTTCCCATGTATTTTTAATCAGTCCAGCTCTACCTGTATTAGCTTTTAATTCAGCAGATTAAATGTAAATGATCAATCCTGTATGGTAATCTACTAGTGGCTCATTATATTTCATATTTTTGCTGCCTGCCTAGAAGTATAAATACAAGGAAATCACAAACCATCTTTCAGGTAACTACGTCTGGCTTGAGGCATCATATAGATCTGGTCTGCACATTAGGAAAGGCGTCCCCAACCCTGGGTTATGGGCCACTACTGGGCCATGGCCTGTTTGGAACTGGACTGTGTGTCAACTCATAAAATATTTATCTGGTCTTTTAGAGTTGCCAACAGAAAGGGAGGTGGGGGTAGTGTAGCAGCTGCGAAAACGAAACTGCATCCCATGGATGTTTCATAGATAGTTTCCAGGCGACCGAAGTTTCTGCCGTGCAAAATTCTAACTGGAGAGTATGATTGATGACTTTTGGCTATGGATCTGTCCCATTGGAGAATATGAATTATGATACACCCAGGGGGTGGGGGAAAACCAGGGTCAAGGGCGACAATGAATGATGTGTCTCACAGTTGGCTACACCCAAGGCAGCACCAGCATGTCTTCTCCTAATAAATCTTTGAGCTTTGAAAATCAGGCTAGACACTCATGATTTAAATGGAGGTCACTACTGGAGCTCTGACACTGGCAGCGTCAGGCTGGCGTATGTTGGCCTGAGCTATGTGCATGTGTGCAGACACGCAGGTCTGCCACACACATAGCACCGTTCCCCTCTCTCCCTTTCAGCTAGGCTGCCAAGCCACAAAGATTGGGGATCGCTGCATTAGGACATAGAACAAGACACAGATGACTTGACTTTGGTTACGCTCTGACTGAAAGATGGAACAACTGGATTGTAGAAAAAGAAACTCAAGGGAAAAATGCCATAGAGCTGATGTAGCTCTGGCAGCAACCCTAAATATTTGTTGGTGACAATCTCTTAAGAGATAAATCAACCTCTATCAATAACCCAACAGCAATGCCCTCCCAGAAAACTTCAATAAATCCACAGCCAATGAATATTAATGGCCAATAAACATAGGTTGCATTACAGATGACAGTCATTGCTATGAACGTTATTTACAATGATACAAGCAATCAAATAGTGTTCTAATCTACAAATAAGTTCTCTCATGCATTTATGCTTACCAGCAAATTAGTCTCATGTTCAGTATCCGGCATGTAAGGATACTGCACGTAAAACATGTCATTGCGTACCATCTTCTTCCTCATCCGGCACGGCCCTTCTGTCATTTCCAGCATCCATTTGTCCAGGTGAGAACCGATGGGAGGCCCCCAAAGGCCCCTCTCCCGTAACAACTCATATTCAATTAGAGACCACTCCTCAGTCACGTACTTCAAGGCATTTTGCTGACGCTAGAAAAAGGAAAGACAGGGTCAGCTGTCATTTTATCATTAGCCACCTTCTACAGTAATTCTACTGCAAACCTCTCATGACTTAAGGCAAAGCAAACAAATAAATGAACAAACCACAATGAATTCCTTGAACCTTAAAAAAAAAAGCTTAAAGATTTGCAGTTGAAGATTTAGCGGGGTGGGCAGCTGGGGGTTCACAGGGGTTCGGGAGAGCCCCTAGCTAAGATTCTGCCGTTCAGAGAACCCCCAAATCCCACTCCTGGCTGGCCCCACCCACCCCACCTATCCCTTCCCAGGAGTCCCTACGTGGCCCGTTTTGGAGGCAGGTAAGTGCAGGGTGTGTGCAGAGGCTTGGGGAGGGCGAAAAATGGCCCTCTCAGAAGTTCAGGAAGGCCGGAAACATTTTTGGCTCCCAGAGAGCCTCCGGAGCCTGGGGAGGCAGTTTTTGCCCTCCCGGAGGCTCAAAAAAAGCCTCCGGAGTCTGGGGAAGGCAAAAACACCCCTACCCTGCTGTGGTGCAGGAGGCCGACTAGGCCATGCCCACCATGGCCACGCCCACTCAGCAACCGGGCAGATAGCCCCCTGCTAAATTTTTTGAAGCCCACCCGTTTAGATACCCACCTTACCTATGGAGTTTATAGTTAAAGCTAAGATCTATTCTTGAAGGAGCTTTTACTGTTAGATTTGTAAATGTCTATGGTGTTTATAGTTATCCAGGTTCATGGTTGTCCCAAAGGTGCTTTTTTTTCCCAGAACTGAAAAAAGTTTGCTCTTCAGTCCTTCAGAAGAAGCTTCCTGGATAAGAAGCAAAACGTCTTCAAGCAAATATGGATTAAAAGACTATTAATTTCACTTACCTCTTGATATTCTTTATATTGCATGTCTACCAAGTCTTTAACCACAGCAATGTGAGTAAACATCCACTGAGAAATCTCCTAAGGGTAAGAATACAAATATTATTGTAGACATATTTTTAATGATAATAATATTATTATTGTTAATTTTGAACTTGTTTTGCCTTTTATTAATTCTGTTAAGTTACCTGTGTTGATAGATTATGTTTACTAAGTCCACTTTCTTTTCTGTTTCTTCTTGATCCGGTTAGTTTGGAGAGGCCAAAACCGCTGCTGACTCGAGATAACTTTGATTGAGTTGCTGGAATCAATGCTTCTCCTCTACTGATGCATTTCTTTTCATGAGCTGGAAGATAAAACAATTGATCAAAATGCAATAACTGTACTTTACAACTCCCCAGACAGAAATTATAAGTTATGTCAACTGCAAGAAAACTTGTATAAGATGTTTTATAGGTGGCATTTAGCACTGGCGAGGTTGGCAAGGATGTTTAAAGATAAATCAGCTAAATGTTGGAAATGCCACCAAACACCTGGGTCATATTATCATATGTGGTGGACATGGGTAGAACCTAAAAAAATATTGGGACAAAAATGCATACATGGTTGGAAAAGATGATACAACAGCATATTGATTTAAAACTTGAAATATTTCTGTTGGGGATTTTACCTGAAATTTATAGTAAAGAGTATTAGGAATAACAAGGTTACCTAATGTAGTTTGGGTAAAATAATATATATAAACTATGATAGTTAGTTTAAGTGTGTGTCACTTTAAACTGCAAAGCATGTAATTTTGGGTGCGGTGTGAAACCGCCATAAGAGGGAGCAAGAAAACCTACTGACGATTCCTGACGATTGACTGGTTTGATGGATTGATGGTTTGTCAACTGCGTGTTTCCCTACTACTGAGTTGCTGAACGCTGAAGGAAGAAAAGGAGGTTTTTGACTTCTTCATATCTCTACTGCGAGAAGATATATTACTGGACTGATATTTGTAAGTTTACTGACCTCTCTTTTTCGACACTGGAATTTGCAACTGAATAATCCCCACATGGACTGAATTAGTGAATGATATATGGACTGTTTGACTATGCTATAACTCTTACTGGAATAAACTATTTAACTAGCACGGTGTATCGGTTTTACTGAGTGTAAGCTACAAAAACGTTTATCCCACATATTTTGCCTGCCTGCCTGACTGCCGTGCAGATTCTGCTAGGGTGTATCCCTAACAAAGAGAATGTATATTTGATTATTAATGTATTAACTAGAATTAGCTAGAATTGTATTTGCTCAAAATTGGAAAAGTGAAGAGTTTCCTACTGATGAAAATGTGATCAGAAAAAATATTAGAATGTGCAGAAATGATTGGATTAACACTTGCAATTAAAGAGAAGGAACAAACTGAATATTATAAGGTATGGGAACTATTTTATCGATGGCAAGAAAAAATATGAAAGCTAGAAATTGCTAATAGATTAGTGAAATATAGAAAATATGTTAATAGAATTAAACATGTTAAGAAGAGGAGTGTTATAGTAATAGAGATATTAGGTATATTAACAAGATAAGAGTAAGAATAGAGAATACTAAATGATGAACATGGATGTAAACTTTAATTGTTACTGCACAAGATATTTGTACCCAGATGATACACCATTAAATGGAAGATGAATTGTATGTACTTTAAATAAAATTTAAAATTTTTACCAACACCCCCCCCCCCAAAAAAAAAAATCATTACCATCTAATATAATCCAGACTGTCATGTTGTTCTACAAAGCTTCCAAGGAAATTTCAACAAAACTTCAGAGATCTACTTGCTTATAAGACCCAAATTAAGTTTTGATTAGATTCAGAGCCCCTTGCACTTCTAGAGATCACACTATAGCATGGGTGTCAAACTCAGAGCGTCCCATTACCGTCGCATGACATTTCATGATGTTTTCCCCATTCGCTGACCTGGGGGTGGTGGTGGCCTGTGCATGACACATCCGGTCTGCGGCCCGCCAGTTTGATATCCCTGCACTACAGGAAACTTCCTTAGCAGAGTTGGTTAAGGGATTTCCTGGACCAGATGATTCCAGCACAGTTTGGAAGAAAACCTGTAATGTTCAGGTGTGGACAATCGTGCTCTGGAGACCTTTAGAACTATGAGTGTGTTTGATTCGAAAAATGCTGAACTCCAAGCACTCAAGTTCAAGTTTAAAGCCATTGTTTCAAAAATATAAATGGGCTAGTCCGAAAATTCTGGAGACATTTCAAGTATAAAACGTTTTAGTTCAAAACATTTTGGACATCATTTCACAGAACAGATTATGTCCTAAATTCCAAATCGGAGCATTAAATCCCCCCTGCCCCTTTGCTCTTACCTAAGTGATTCTGCCAAAATTTTAAACTGGCTTCTTCAATAAGAGACTTTGCAACTGCCATATCCACATGGCCTCTGTCATTGACGGGAAGGGATACTTTGAAAGCCTCCTCCAAAACTTGTTTCTTGCTGTAGATCAACTCTGTCCACACGCGATTCACAGCTTTAAGGAGAAGTTGGCGACCTACATATGCAAACAGAACAAATAAACTGGGATCAACTATGAAAATCATAGCCCTGAAAAAACTGCTGAGAGCTAAATATAGTAAGACATTTATTTAAGCATCATTTTAGCATTATTGCTGTACAATTTGCAGCGATTAAGTGCCAACATGATCCAGGAAAATATCGGTAGCAGCATAACTTTTATCTGAAAAGCAATCAGTTCTAATGCCAGAGACTTGCCATGTCAATTTAAGGCGAGATACTAATGTAAAGAAAAGATGATAACACGCAATTTAACTTCTAGAGTTCCCTCTAGAAAAAACTTCCCTTTTCTCCAACTCTGACTCTGGAGCCACATAAAGCTTAGTACAGGTAGTCTTCAATTTACGGCCACAATTGGGACCAGAATTTCCATTGTTAAGCAAGGTGGTTGTTAAGTGAGTGGTGCCCAATTTTGGTTGTTAGGTGAATCACTGCAGCTATTAAGTGAATCACATAGTTGTTAAATGAATTCAGCTTCCTTCACTGACTGCTTTTTGGAAGCTGTCAGGGAAGGTCACAAATGGTATCACAAATGGAATGCTGGAACCATCATAAACACATACTGGTTGCCAAGAGACTGAATTTTGGTCACATGACCCTAGAAATGCTGCGGCAGTCATAGGTGCGAGGACCAGCTGTAAGTCATGTTTTTCAGTGTTGATGTAACTTTGAACAGTTGCTAAACGAATGGTCGTAATTCGAGGACACTCTGTACTTGGATATTTGGCAGGCTAACTTTCTTCTAGGTTGAACTCAGCCACCCAAACAAAATGGAAATACCCGATTCCACACGTTGGAATCCAAGAGATGGCATTTCTGTTAGAATGACAACAGCACTTAGACTTTACAATCTAAGTACATATATACTTTACACACACACAGAGAGAGAGAGAGAGAGAGAGAGAGAGAGAGAGAGAGAGAGAGAGAGTGAGTATATTGCTTCACAGTGCTTTACAGCCCTCTCTAAGTGGTTTACAGTCAGCATACCACCCTCCCAACAATCTGGGTCCTCCTTTACCCACCTCGGAAGGCTGGAAGGCTGAATCAACCTGGAGCCAGTCAGGATCAAACTGCTGGCAGTCGGCAGAATTAGCCTGCAATACTGCCTTCTAACCACTGTGCCAGCACAGCTCATAATAATCCTAAGTATGGAATTATGTCTCTGATCAGCCATCTGTCGGCGCTGAATTTTCCACGTGTCTAGCAGCAGCTAAAATGTTACTGTTCACTCTCTCTTGTTTGTTTGCTGCTTCTACAGATTCTGCTGAGCGACAGAGATTTACGTCTAATTCTAATGCATTCCTGACTGCAGCTTAGCAGGGTCTATTTAAAGTGGATACGCAGCCTATCATCACTTTAATTCCCCACCTTACACCCTCAAACTGCTTGCTGTCAATTAGGCCTCTTCCAGCCTACACTTCAATCTGCTGAGCTGAAGTCTGCTTAGCATTTCCAAAGTGTTCTTCATGGCCCGCTGACTCTCTCTAACACAGGGGTGTCACACTTGATTTCATTGAGGGCCACATCAGGGTTGTGTTTGACCTCGGGGGGAGATGGGGACGGATGGACGGACGTGGTGGGTGTGGCCAGCTCAACGTCAATCATTTCGGGGGGCCAAGTGTTAAGGCAGGACTTTCTCTGACCCTCCCTCCCTCTCATTATAATCTCCCTCTCTCCCTTTCCTTCTATTTCCTTCATTCTCCTTTCTTCTTCCTTCTTCTCTTTCCTTATTTCTCCTTCCTTGCTCTCTTCCCATCTTCCCTTCTTTTTCTTTGTCCTTTCCTCTTTCCCTTTGTCCTTTCCTGTCCCTTCTTGCATGCTCAAATGCAAAAGGGGGAACATTTCTCCTTTTGTTTTGTTTTTAGTTTGTTTTGATAGCCTTCTGCCACTGAAAATGGAGATTTTTTTGTGGGGGGGTGGGTGGCACACGTGGTCACCCGAGCTCTGTTTTCACTGGCACAGGCACCACAGGCCAGTCATTTGCTGTTTCTAGGGTGGCCCCCACGGGCCAGGTCTAAGCACTCTACAGGTTGGATGCGGCCTGTGGGCCTTGAGTTTGACACCCCTGCTCTAAAAGATCAGGGAAAGGATAGGAAAAGGGGAGAAGCACAACAAGCAACGTTTGACCCGTATTTCAGCCTAACATGCTAAAATGCTTCACGGCGTATCGTTACCTTCCCCGACATCTTGACTGTAGACTCCATCGGGCTCCACGTCAGAAGGTATCATGATGTGCCATGTGGTCATTCTGGCCTCTGCTTCCAGGCCAAAACCCTCAACGCTGCTGTAAACATCATCCAATAAGGTTAGATGTGAAGGAGGGATATTTGCTTTAGAAAAGCTGTGGTTTCTGCATTTATAAATATACACATCTTATTTTCTGAGCGTCTCAAGAAGCTCATAGTGAAAAAGGTGCAATAGTGAACAGGATAGAATGGTTAAAAGGCAACAGTCAAGCAATGCCTCATGTGGGCCAGTGCTAAATTAAAAATATAATATTAATATGCTATGGAGATTGGAGAGGCAGGTGTTCTATTTTCAAATTGTGATTAAATGTTATTTATTTTATTCATTTGTATCCCACCTTTATCATTTTTACAAAATTCAAAGCAGTGAACGTATCTAACACACCTTACTCTTCTTCTTTTCTCCACAACAACAACCCTGTGAAATAGAGTGACTGGCCCAAAGTCATTCAGTTGACTTTTATGGCTAAGGCGGGCCTAGAATTCAGCATTTCCAATTTTCTAGCCAGGTGTCTTAACCACTAAACCAAACTGCCTTACCAACCACAAGACCAAACAAATTATTGTTATGTATGAATACAAAAGGTTCTGAATTATCTGCAATATTACCTCCCAAAAATTAGCTGTGGAATTAGCACCTGCAGGAAACATTACATTTATTAAAAAGGCAAAGAAGCAGTTTATCGCATGTGTTAGGGCATCCCTTTCAACTAATATTTCATTATAAGCTACGTTTCCTAGGCTGGAAGAAGGAAAAATATACACTTCAGAATTATGTAAAGTTGAAGAAAGATCCTTCTGTGTTTTTATGTAGCTATTAGCATAGCATTAAATTACAGGGGGTCCTGTAATCTTTGTAGAACTCTCTAAATACATTGTACTACCAGCTCTACAAAGTCAGGAAGCCTTAGTGAAGGAGTACAACAAACTGACAACTTGCGCAACAGCTGTCTAACAACTTTGACGTTCACACAATGGAAGGCCAAATGAGCTGCTGAACACCAGGCACATGACCTTGCACAAATGATGTCAGGTTTTAACCTGCCAGCATTGGTCAACTCTGAACAGGATCCATACCCAACATGGTGTCTGCTAGGACTCATTGTTTAAATGGGGTCTTGTCTCTACCCCTCATTGTGACTCGACAAAATAGCCATCACATTGTGTCTGAATGTCCATCAAGAGCTTTAACATTTGAACTACTATAAGTCCATGTATTTGCCGTACGCTAAGTAAATAAACGGGGTCCTTGGTTTAAAAATGAAGTGTGTATAAATGATGAATAACTGATTGCCAACATGTGAAAACTTTTTTCTTTTTCTTTATGTTTTTGTATTTGCCTTTGTTTTGTGAAATAAAAATGAAAATAAACTACAGGTAACATTTGGGTAACAACCACTTCTTCAGTGAACATTGGAACTTATGATGGTGCTGAACAAGTGGTGCTTACAACTGGTCCTTGAGGTTCCAGCTGTTGCATTGTCCAGTGGTCCCATGATTGCAATCTGGGACTTGGCAACCAAAGCTGGATTTCTGACTGTTGCAGCATCCCACGGACACACGATTGTGATTTGCAACGTTCCTTGCTGGATTTCCACAAACATAGTCAATGGGGAAGCTGAACAGAAGTTGTATGAAGTCCTTGTTCAATGACCTGTGGTCCTTTGCTTAATGATAGCAACAGGGAATTGTCGTAACTGCTGTTGCTAAGCAGCATGGTCACATGACAATCATGTTGCTTAGCGACAGAAATTCTGCTCCCAATTACTGTTGTTGAATGAGGACTTCTTGTATCACAATTTCTAGAAAGAAAGCATATGGAATATCAGAACGCTCTGTGTCTTTTCATTCTCACTTGAGTGAGGTAAAGGTCAATTATATAGTACAAATTTATATTGCTGCTACTTCAGCCAACAGATGGGAGTTCTCATTATTTAAATGCCTCCCACACAAGGTCCTAATGTTCACACACACACAAAAAAAATCCTAGTGTGTCATGGGGAAAGTAATGTACAAAAAGTGAGCCTCAGATTATGAAAAATTGATAGATTTAATTGGCAAAAGTTGTGGCAGTTATAAATTCCAAGCAACGATCAAGATTCGTTTTTGAAAATTAGCTTCTCTAAAGCAAGACCAAGAAAGGACTGTTTGTATCAGGTGAACACCTTTCTTCTTAAGCTGTTTATAGATGAAGCAGACGAAAAAGAATTATGAACGTGCTTCTTTGACAAATTATGATCCGAAGTCCTGTCACTCGTGCAAACTCAATACATCTTCATTATTTCAATATTTATGAGGAGAAGCTGGTATCTGAAGCAATTCAGGGGTACAAGAAAAACTGGTATCAGACACAGCATCTAAACTGGTAACTCTTCATACATATAAAAAGCCCTTCAAATCTGCCTGTCATCGTCTTTTTTAGTGTCGATATCCAGTTTCTCCAGCATTAAAGCTCTATTTCCACAAGGAATTGGTTATTCTACTTTGCCTTCCTAAATATCAGAAATATGAGCTTATGTTTTATAAATCACACCTATAAAAAGAAACTTAATGTTAATCATCCTGATGATTACACAAAACAAACCATTTATCAAATCAACAAACGTGGAAAGCATGCACTCTGGGACACTTACCTTCCTGCATAAAGATTAATCAAGCAATGAGCCAGACAGCTGATGAATTCTTGGTCGTGATTTGCGGGACCCAGGATCAGGCTTCGGTTCACAGTGAGCATCCTTAGGGAGTCGAGAAGAGCAACTTGCTGGGGAACCGTTTTATGTGGTCTTGAGAATTGGTACAAGATGGTCCTGTTCAGGCAGTGATAAATAGCATCCAGGGATAATCCTTGAGATCTTCTTTTTGACTTTAAGAACAACAACAGCAGCACACAAAATAAAATTTGAAAGAGAGAAATCATAACAGTACCGTATACTTTTATTTCTATGCTTTTAAGCAGATTTTCAGCAATGATTTTTCTCTGCTAAATGAGAAGGTTCCATTATCTTGGAAATTAGCCTAAGTCATTGCTAACACTGCCCCTTGTTATTAAAAGTATTCATCAAATAGCAAAATCCAATTTTCACTCTTTCCTGTGAAAGCAAAAAAAAAAAAAAAAACCAACAAGTTAAAATACGATGAAGCTTTTGATAGATCTGCAGGACTCATTTTTCCCCTTCAGCCCATCTACTGAACAAAGCCACAACTGTTTGGAAGCTTTGAAGGTTGGGAAATAGTTGCCTCGGTTGCTCTAATGTGATTGCCAGATACAAGATCTGACTTCAACAACAGAAGCTGCTGTTTGTGCCAATACAAGGAGGAGAAAACTGGTTTAAGAGGAGATCATCTCCAAGTTGTGAACAAGCAATTGGCCCACTATAACTTTGATTCAATGAAGTATGAGAAATATTTCCATCTTTCCTAAATGTTTTTATTTCCATCTTTACTAAATGTTTTAATTGAAAGAAATATTTAAAGAAAAACAAGTGTAGGAAATACTGTCTGTCTACATAGCCAATGGAACTTTTCTTTAAATACAAAATCATGTGAGCATACCTGTGCGATTAATTGGAGTGTGAAATCTATAAGCAACTTCGATTCCTTGTTGAACATCCCTTGCCAAAGTTTATCTACCACACGCTGCGTGAAATAGAATACATTGTTTACAAGCACCTGGTAGCTTCCTCCACTGGTGATAGGCAAAGATGCATCCTCACCTATACAAGGAAAACAGCAGAAGAATTTCATTCCCAAAATGAATACATACAAAAAATAATAATACTCCAATTCCACCATCCATGGAACAGAGCGTATAAGGACATTCCATACAACTAACATCAAGATCAGAAAATAATTTCTTCTTTGAAATATCATTGTACATTACACAGTATCATTATGCAGTATCAGAACAACTGCTCTTATTTCAATGGATCGTTCTTAACTAAAGTAATTCGTAATTTTTAATTGATGTGTAGAAACAACATTTTGCATTTACAGCAATTCATCAGTTGTGTTCTTTTGAGGATTTGAAGAAGGTGCATTAAGGATAAAAATATGCAAACAAATGTTTACCCAATAACACATCAGCGGCAAGCAAGTGGTCCATAACACTATCCAAAATATAAGTCTGAAATTCTTTTTGTTGGGCCCTTGTTGATCTTTCTGGAGATGCCTAGAAATGCAGAATAAGGATAATAAGATGTCATCGGAGAAAGCTATTCTGAAATGTTAATATGAACTCTGGGAAATTTAAGACTCATTACACATTGGACTGTCTGGCACTTGGCACAAATAAAACTTTTCATTCAATGTATTTAGTGTAAAGGTGAATAATAAAGTATTAATGTGTTAGTCTTAATTCTTTCCCTCAGAAATTAACAATGACCTGAGTATAAACTAATGGGAAGCCCATATATCGAGTATAAACTAATGGGAAGCCCATATATCTTTTACATATTTCCATGCAAAAAAAAAAATTCTACTGAGCAACAAAAATAAAACTGATTATAATTTTCTATGATATGTTATCTTTAATTTATTGAGGGGAAGGGTTAGGTTATTCTAAATCAGAGGTGGGAAACTATGGCCCTTTATGACTTGCAGGCCTCAACTCCCAGAATTCCTGACCAGCATGGCTGGCTCAGGAATTCTGGGAGTTGAAGTCCACAAGTCAAAAAAGCCCAGTTCTTTAAGACAGCTTTCGGCAGAATATCTTCCACCGTAGGCGAAGTGAATAGAAATCACTTGAGAACGCAATTCCCTTTCCATTGCCAATGTAGAAGGCAAATAATTCTCTCCTCTTTCCTTATGGTTCTGAAATGTATATTAAACAGAGCAAAGAAATGAAAAAAAAAAAAAGCCTGTGGACCTTGATGGGGAAAGAGGTAGATAATAGAAACCAGATGGTTACTCATTCCTTGGTGTAAAAGAAGACACTACGTGAGTATGATAAAGGGCATAATTTATATTAGAAGATACTAAATCAGTAGAAGAAAAGGGGCTTGAAGCCTTTATAGAAATGTGGTTTTAAAGGAAGGCATTGGGTCAGATCACAGTAAGGTTATCCCACTCAGAAGTGGTATTCAGCTGGCTTGGGCTGGTTCTGGCGGATTGGTAGCAAAAATTTTGACTGGTGGGGAGAACCAGTGAATTCCACCTCTGGCTGGTCCCGCCCACCTGCCCCCACTCTTACCTCTCCTATATTCCTTTGTTTATTAGCTCTCATGGCAGAGTGGATTGCTGCACGAAGCGAGCTCTCCAAACCAGTAGGAATTTTTTTTTTTGAAACCCACCACTGATTCCACTGTACTATCAGATGCTACATTCCAATCTAGTTTGATTTATATTGCTCTCAGGTAACAGTTCTGGGAGACACAACTAATATCTCTGCTAAGTGCAGGGCTCCTTTGCATTCTTGCAGCCAAAAGCCCTGTGATCATTGTAACTGTGGCATCTATCTCCAAACTTCTATCTTCCTTACTTAAAATGGCCTTCCCACCCATAACATTCGTAACGGTTTTCTGGTTTCCTTCTCTAAAACTTTTCCCTAACAAGCAGGAATTACGACAAAGAGCAGGGGAGAAGATTCTTTGGTACATTATCCTCACCCCAGTTGTGTCTGTCACTTTTCTGAGCTGCTTCCCACCTCAATGAGTTAAAGGGGGAAGACAAGCTGACAAATGTGGAAAAATGATTCTTTAATAAGTTTTCCTTTTTTTCCTAATTAGAAGGTACTGTAGCTACAAAATTAGAAATGGGATATACAGATAGGACTGCCCTTATGTTTTGGGCAGAAAAATCTTTCTGAGGAGATGGAGTGAAACCAACTAGCCTTCTAGAGCAGCGATGGCGCAGTGGTTAGAATGCGGTACTAAAGGCTACTTCTGCTGCCTGCCGGCTGCCTGCAATTTGGCAGTTTGAATCTCACCAGGCTCAAGGTGGACTCAGCCTTGCATCCTTCCAAGGTCGGTGAAATGAGGACCCAGATTGTTGGGGGCAAGAGGCTGACTCTGTATATAAGTCTAAATGCTATTGCTAGTGCTTCTTAAGGTGCAAAGCACTGCAAGACTCTCAAAATTATTCTGAGCTAGTGGTTCTCAATCTTTTCTTCATCACGGACCCCATTTAAATACCTTTTGTGGCCACAGACCCCCAAGACTTAACTGAAGATTTAAATTGTAATATTTCTTCAAGTCTTCACAGACCCCGTTACATCGCGGGCCCTCCAGGGGTCTGTGGACCACAGGTTGAGAATTACTGTGATAACAATAGCAATACCACTTACAGTAAAACACCACTTCACAGTGCTTTACAGCCCTCTCTAAGTGGTTTACAGTGTCAGCACATTGCCCCCAACAATCTGGGTCCTCATTTTACCGATTATGGAAGGATGAAAGGCTGAGTCAACCATGAGCCAATGAGACTCGAACTTCTGAACTGCTGGCAGGCAGCAGTCAGCAGAAGTAGCGTGCAGTACTGCATTCTAACCACTGCACCACCGTATGCAAAGCCCATTAACTACGGTAGCAACAGAACGTTGAAAATATCCAGTGTAACTTCTATTTTTGCTTTAAAAAGCAACGGCAAACTACTAAATTTACCTCCAGCAGAAGGTCTATTAAAGGAGTTTGCTTGCTTGCAGGTGTAAGGCAGAGATTATCTATTATCAGCACACGCATAAAGTCGAACACAAACTTCTTGGCAGGATGGTTGGTTAAAAAAGTCTTAGACCCAACGTTGCAATACTCTGATTGGCTCCGATTCATCCCTGTATCAGAGGCAAAAGCTTTGAACTCTTCAGCTGGAGATCCGGCATCATCATCTAAATCAGTAACCTGTTTTTGAAAAAGGAATCAGTCATCTGTGTATTAGTTGTTAATTCTGGACAACAAAGTATGATGGATTGCAGTTACTTATTTTAGCATCTCAGTGTGTATAGATAGTTCTTGACTTAGCAACCATTTGTTTAGTGGCTGTTTGAAATTATAACGCCACTGAAAAAAAGTGACGTATGACCATTTTTTTTTCACACTTATGACCATTGCAGCATCCCCATGGTCCCGTGATCAAAACTCAGATGCTTGGCAGCTACTCATATTTATGACGGTTGCGATGTCCCGGAATCATGCAATCATCTTTTGTGACCATCTTACAAGCAAAGTCAATGGGTAAGTTGGATTTGCTTAACAATCGTGTTACTAACTTAACAGCTGCTATGATTCACTTAGCAACTGTGGGAAGAAAAGTCGTAAAATGGGGCAAACCTCTCTTAACAACTATTTTGCTTAGCCATAGAAATGTTGGTCTCGGTTGTGTCGTAACAGCTGTTTAGGAATGGCAAGAGCAGAACTCACTAAAATAAATCTGTCTCTTAGCAACTGAACTGCCTCTCTTAGCAAAGGAAACGTTGCGCCCAATTATGGTTGTAAGTTGAGGACTAATTCTGCAGCAGCACTTAGCTAATCTAGGATGATCTTGGATGTTAAACACAGACAACCCTGCAAAAATACTTGAAAGGTGGACATGAGAATTCCCAGCTGTTGGAAAGTTGAAAAAAAAAAGGGCACAATTCACTTAACAACCGCTTTTACATAGTAAATGGAAATTCTGGTCCAAGTTGTGGTCATAAGTCAAGAACTAGCTGTCTTATAATTTCTCCTAACGTGCATCAGAAGCTAGTCTTGATATATGTACTACAATGCAAGTACATGCGTTCTTGGAAGCCAGAGACATCCTATGGTCAAGTAAATATGATACAGCAAAAAAACCCCACACACTCCGTCATTGAGCCTAGAACACTGGTGGCTAACCTTTTTGGGCTCCTGTGCCAAAAATTGTGTGCGTATTAGCACGTGCGCACTCGCGTGCCAGCACCCAGAATGCAATGTGCCCCCCACCCCCTTACCTGCACTGCGCCTCACAGCTGACATTTCAGCTGGTTTGAGGGCTTTTTCGGTCTCCCAGTGGCTTGGGAAAAGCCTCTGCAAGGCTTTTCAGGCCGAACAATATGCCCATTTGGTCACTTCCGGTATTACATCAGCTGTGAGGCGCGCGCATGCGCAGTGAGGTAAGTTTACCTGCAGCTTGCGTGCCGGCACAAATGTGGCACGCATGCCATAGGTTCGCCATCATGGGCTAGACCAACAGATGGTGCTAAGGAGGCCTACAAGCTGTCTATTGTCACAAAGGATTTAGACAACTGCTCTGTCCTTCCTCCTCCCATACAGAGACATGAAGCACGGTAGAGTGACTTTAAATTTGGGTTTGGCCAAATGGGAAAATTTTATACCATAAAAACCATGCCTCTAAAAAGGTACCTGCTGAGAGTGCGATAAAGACAGAAAGAGACTAAGTAGAAATGTACCCAGGCAAAATATTCCATTAAACAAAATTTAACTATGATAATAAGCAGATTAAATTCCTAATTACGAGCTAAGAAGATACTGGGAAGGACATAATGAAAGCAGTATAATTTTCCACCCAGAATGTTCAGCAACTGTTGTCAATACGGTGCAAAAAAAAAAAAAAAAAAGTAAAAAGTTGACGATGTGTGGCTTAAACCTTCACTCTCAGAGGTTAAAGTCGTATCAAGTGTTAATTCCCTTGTGAGAGCTGCAAAGCCTCTTGAATCTGACGGTATTAATCCGTGTATGAGATTTCGTAAAGCTCTCAAAGGCTTCCCAACAGTGGTGAAAATAATGTTTTTCTTCCCTTTAGCCTCTTCAACACAAATGTGCATAATACTCTAATACTGAGCCCTATCCAGCTGATTGTGGCTTGCCAAAATTTCAAGTTTTTCCTCATGTGAGACTTAATGCGGAATTGGGCATTTTTTTGGGCAACCATAACACTAAACAGGTTTCAAAGATCAGAAATCATCTTTTGCATGAATAGTCAGCTGGTACTTACAGCACAGACGGCTCTCAGTAACTTACCTGTGGATGAATCTTTCTATTCAATTCTATTTATGTCTGCTAATTAAATGCTCAACTCAATTTCCAGACCGTATAATTGGAGTTTTTGTGTTTTGTTTTGTTTTTTAAAGGGAAGGAGTTCTTGTGTTTCCTACCATTTCTGAATATGGCCGAATGTTGAAAGGGAACACGGTAGCTGCCAGCGCACAAAGAAAATCTGGGCTCATCCACATTGAAGCTAAATCTGGGACATTATGATAGAGGTATCGAAAAAACTGCATCAAAGTGACGGGATATTCGCGGAGCCAAGAACCTTCTTCCTCTGACTGCCAAGGCTGCAGGGCAAGGAGACATTAGGAACTTTATTCGTTTCAAAGATAAAATAATGTGAAATAACAATGTGGTGCATTAGCTAAAGCAGAACTGCATAAGTTAAGACATAATGTACTGGCTAGAGTTGCATCTCTAACAGTAAAATTTATTGAGGAATTAACCCTACGTGTTATTAATACAGCATTGGGTGGGAGAGGGAGGGAGGGAGGGGGAGAGAGAGAGAGAGAGGGAGGGAGGGAGGGAGGGAGAGGGAGGGAGGGAGAGAGAGAGAGAAGTGTATGTCAATGTGACATCACATGTTTTATTAACTGTGGTATACAATATAAAGAAAATTAGCTTGGACCAAGGCCATCCGGTAGCTTCATATTTACTCATGTGCAGAAGCCAACAATTTAGTTTCCACTAAGTATGCATGGGTGGATAACTTTTTTTTATTTTAGATTTTCATCCTATCTTTATTAAAAAAAAAAATTCAAGGAAGAGAACATGCCAAATATTCCTTCCTCCTCCTATTTTTCCCACAGCAACAACTTTGCAAAGTGAGTTGGGCTGAGACAGACAGAGAGTAACTGGCCCGAAGTCACCCAGCCAGTCTTTCAAGCCTACAGCAAGACCAGAACTCAGTCGCCTGGTTTCTAGGCCAGCACCTTAACCATTACATCAAACTAGGATAACTGGTTTCTTGTTAGCATTGTTTATTTCATAAGTATCTTTTTCTTAATGTATACTACTTCTCTAAGCACAAATCTGCTTCTATTTTGCAACAAAACCTCAATAACACCCAGTGAAACACTTATTCATGTTGGCTTTATCGAGCAGTGCTTTAGTTTTCTAGACTCTGGATATTTAATTTGATAGACTATGATGTCATGCGTATGTTGCCTAAAGAAAATTATCTAATAAAATTATTAATAATACAATATAGTGCAATAACACTTTATTAATTAATTGTCCCTATCGACAAATTTAATTATTAATATTAAACACAGATGAAGTCAAGGAAATACTTCAGGTGGCGAATAGGTAGAAAGATATGACAATCACTTGTTTAAAGTGTTGTAGTTTTTTTGAAAGAAAGGGGGGTCACTTATATTTACATCTGTCTGTCCATCCATCCATGAGCAAAAAAAAAAAAACCAACTTTTTCTTGTGAGTCAAGTTGGAAGAAATAAAATCAATGAACGGCTGAAGGTAGACTAAATCTTATTCTCCTCTATCCTAGACCAATACTTTTAACATGTGAAGCTCTCTTGTTTTTACTTTTATTGCATAAAAGAGGTGTCCAATCTTGGCAACTTTAAGATCTGTGAACTGCAGATCCAGAATGCTGGCTGAAGTCCACAAGTCTTAACATTGCCAAGGTTGGACACCCAATCCTATAGCCTAACATATTGCATCTATTAATGGCATCACAAAAGCAACTACTGCCAACAAGTAAGGATAGAATTTTGTTGGCGTTTAAAATGAGTTTCCAACATTCGTTTGTACAAGATTCTACCTTAGAATCTCAAGTAATCTTTTCTTAAACGTTTTACCAACAAAATGATAAAATGAACAGGTGAAATATCTCAGCTTCTCATGGGTCTTCAGAGAGATGCTGTACTTACTGAATTTAGCATGCTCCTAAGCATTCCCAGCAGTAAAAAGGCAGCTTCTGTGCAAACACAGTGAATTGAAGCAACCACGGTGCCACTTGATGCAGGAACACCAAATATGAATGTCCAAATTGAATCTAAGTCAAACTTCAGCAGGGAAGGAGAGGAAAAAAAATACAAACACATTATTTTGTGTTCATTTATAAGCAATCTGTAAATTATTGCAATGCAAAACTTGCCTTTCTACCTCTTGGTAGTTCAGAGTTATTTGTATAAATCAACCAATGCTCACTTAACTCCACCAGAATCTGTACCAATTTCTATTAAGCACTTCATCATGTCTTATTTATTCAACAAGGTTTAAAAATAGATACTTCCAACCCCCAAAAGACAGTTGGTCAAGGAAGCACACATATTGCATCTGCCTAAAGATTGTGGAAGATATAGGTTAAATAGGTATCTGCACCATCACTCTGTTGAACACCTAATCCTCACAGTATTGTCTAATGTCTATGTATGCACTCATGTAGTGTAGCTGTAGTATTATTTATCCTTCTTATTATCTTCTTTACTCCCCCCTTTTATTGGGATTATGATGATGATGATGATGATGGATGATTCTGTTGCTGTGCATGTATCCCAAGTGCTTTTGTACTGGAGACAAATTCCTTGTGTGTCAAATCACCCCTGGCCCAAATAAAGTTCAATTCAGTTTATTTGAACGCTCGCTTTTACCAGTCATCTCACATCTCATTGAATCCAGTAGGTATTTTGCTCCATAGTTCCTACCTGGCCACCTTGGTTGCCCCGACTAATGGGGACAGGTGTGCTGAGTTGCAGATTTTCAGGCAGTTCAGCGACTGGCTGCTGTAGGAAAAGCGCCATGAGAAGGAAATACAATGCAGGCACATTTGTGTGCTTAGGAAGAAATGACTGAAGAACTGGGAAGCCCGGGAAATGACAGGCATCACGATTGATTTCCCTGACAGTTGATCTGCCACCAGCACTCCTGCCAACATTAAAACCTAAACAGAAAACGAAGAAGAAAAGTTTGATCTGCAATATCAATACTGATTGGAAAAACAAGTTGAATGCCACGTTCAGTATGGTAAATAAATGCTTGGTTACAGGACAATTTTTCTCAATGTCATTTTTATTCAACTGGATGTTTGAGATTAGGAAGAATGCTAGGCCATATAAGAGAAAATACTCAAAAGAGTTAAAACCTTGGCCTAAAATAGGGGGCCGCCAAACTGGCTGAGGAATTCTGGGAGTTGAAGTCCATCAGTTTTAAGTTGACAAGTTTGGAAATCACTGGCCTAAAAAGTCAACAATTTTAAGGGTGAAGTTTGCTGATAGGCTTTATCCTTCACTATGTAAAATCTATTAAGAGCTTTTTTCTACGTGAGCCCACTGAAACAAATGGGAGTTGCCCAGGCATTCAATAATAACAAAAATGTTGCCCAGCATAACCATTATACAATTAAACAATTCTTCATTTCACTCCCAAATACGTATTTTCTCATTCCCTTTCATTTCTAAAAGAAAACATATCTATATTCTTAATTTGGAGTTGTCAAAGATCGCAAATGTGTTAGTATAGAAATAAAAAACAAAAACTAAATTATTGTTGGTTGCAAAAACGAACAAATGAATGAAACATCATCTTTAAAAAAAAAACAAATAGTCATGGGGGTACATTTTCAGAAACTTTCAGTACTTGAGTACAAGACAATATCATCTTAATTTCAGAGCAGATTTTAACAATAACCCCTTAGTGTATCTTAGCTCTTCTAGTGATGTCTGTCAATTCCCAATAAACAAAGGTATTAATATAAACAATTGGCTTTGCTCAACAGTATATTAGAAATATCCATGCTGATTCTCTTTAACATTTTTTTTGTTTCTGATTAAAAATATTTACTTTATGCTAAAAACTCTGTATAAACTTTCAAAATTCTATAGAGCATGCTCTTAACAGATAATATTTACAGTATTGCTCATCACACATTATTAGAACAATGAACAAAGAAGCAATGCTGACTTTGAAGATTTTGTCATTTTAGGATTTTCCATACAGTCTGTTTTTGGTCCAATTCTTACATCACAAGAGCAGCTGTGGCCTTTGCTCCCAAGCAGATGTTCAATAACATCAGCTTAATTAGATTATTTGGGAGGGCCTTTAAAGGGGAACCCTTGCATACAAATGAACATATGTCAACTCCTACTCAAATATGCCAACATAATGGATTAGCATTCTGGCTCAGTTGTTTTTCCCCCTTGGCATTCTACCATTAAACTGGCAAGGGAGACTGTAACAACATACCCTGTATTTGACAATGTTACAAACTAGTCTCTGAACAAAGTTGTGTTTTAAATGAAAACCAACTTTTATAGAATATAAACAGGCCGGTTAAAGACGTTGTGAGTTAGGTAAACTTTTTCTAAGACACACTGATCAATAATTGTGCATAAAAGAAATTGTCCACAGATATTTTCTAAAGAAATGGAAACTAAACATAAGGCTGGTTCATTTAACCATACAGTTTTCTGTGTATTCTCCTTCAGTTAACTTGTTCAGGAGCCCTCTCCAATTTGAGAATATACCACTGTACGTCAGACAAGACTCTCCCAATATCAGATCAACTTTATAATGGCCACAATATTCAGCCTGGGGTAAAAAAACCCGACTCCAAATCTCTAAATTCCGATGCAATCTTTTGTAAGTACATAGTTAAAATGGCAATTTTCTATATCAAAAAGCATTTTATTTCACCATTCAGCCTCATGGATTAGTCCAAGTTCTATTATACAGGTAGTCCTTGACTTACAACCACAATTAAGCCCCAAATTTCCACTGCTAAGCAATACAATTGTTAAGTGAGTTTTACCTCATTTTACAACCTTTGTTGCCACAGTTGTTAATTGAATCACAACAGTTTTTTAAGTTAGGAAGATGGCTGTTAAGTGAATCTGGCTCCCTCCCATTGATTTTGCTGGTCAGAAGGTTGCAAAAGGTGATCACTTGACCCTGGGACACTGCAACCGTCATAAGTACATGCCAGTTTCCAAGCATCCAAATTTTGATCATGTGACCGTGGGGATGTTGCAGTGGTTGTAAATCACTGCCATTTTCAATGCCACCGTAACTTTGAATGGTCACTAAATGAACTGTTGTAAATTGAGGACTACCTGTACTGCATTTTGATAACACGGTAACTTGTGGGGATTCATACCAAGCACGGTTCCAATCTTATTAGTCAATACAGAATCAGTCTGTTCCAGCCAGCCTCCCCCACTGAGACCTTCTTTGAATTTGATGAGGATAGTTGGGTTGCTCAGCAAAACTACCAGAATCCTCATGGCTGCAGTCACGGTAGCTGGATGCAGATGGTCTTCCATAAACAGCACAATCCAATCAAAGCCCAGGGTTCGGACCAGCTCTTCGCAAGCCCTAAGGGGAATCCATAGAATTAGTAATCTAGACCAAAATTAGACCAAGAATCCAGAAGTAAACAATACTCCAATCAAGGAATTACCAACGTAGACAAATAAGCTAACAATAAACAATGGCCTAGTCAAGAAATCCCCAAGACCATGGGTGTCAAACTCAACTTCATTGAGGGCCGCATCGGGGTTGTGTTTGACCTTGGGCGGGCAAGTGAGCGTGGTCAGGTAGGCACGGCCAGCTCAACATCACTTGTGTCAGGGGCACTTGTGGTGGGGCGGGGCTGGTGGATCCACTTTCACTAGTAATTTGTTTTGCTAGCACTCTGCCAGTGAAAACAGAGCTCGGGGGGCCCCACATAGCACCGCCCAGGCTCCATTTTTGACTGTGATGGCCTCCTACACTCTCTGGCAGCAAAAAGGGCCACCGCGTGTGGCTCTCCCGAGCTCCGCTTTTGCTGGCAGAGGCACTGCAGGCCAGTCCTTCACTGTTTCCAGATCTAAGTACCCAGTGGGCCAGATCTAGCCCGCAAGCCCAGAGTTTGATACCCCTGCCCAAGACCATTCCCATTAACACTGACAGGGCAAGCCACTAGTATACAAAAAATAAAAGCAAATCCCATTCCCTCCTAATACTGATGATGTTACCTAGTTTGGTAATGAAATGTCTGCAAGAAAACCACCAAGCTCAAAGAACAACAAGGACCCCACAATTGGCAAATTTTCAGGGGAAAAAAGGGTTAACAAGATCTAGTGTTTTGCTCCTCATATACTGCTATAGGATGTTGCTCACGTGGATTTGTTGTTGCTTTCTGATAGAAAAGTAGAACCATCCTGGGGTTTTGTTATAGTTACATCTATACAAAAAATAATCTAAATTATGTATACTCACTGTAAATTGACACTTGTTTTTTCTTTAGATGTGTACATAAGTTTCAGAAGGATATCCAGCAATCTGTTTCTCAGAAGAATAAGATTTGCAGAAACAAGACCACCAAAATCTTCCTCAGTTCCTAAAACAGAAATGGTTGCTTTGAAGCAGGCCACTTTGAACACTCATGAAAAGATTATTTTCTAAAATAATGTCAGTGGATATTAAAGCACAATCAATCTAACTAATAAATACTTCCCTAGTTTTATGGCATGGAAAATGTTCCTTTAGCTAAAAATGCTCTAAATTTTAATGATTACAAGATGAAACAATTATAGATTAAGAAAAAATAAAATAACATTCACTAATACATTTATTTTGGAATTATACACACATTATAAGATATGTATTGTAATTTATATAGACATGCTTCAGAAAATAACTATAAACTAATCTAACAACGTACACCTAAGCAAGTTAAGATGTAAATAGTCTTTTAGTATTGCAACAATTTTGTACTTAGTATAAATTTTGACTGGTGTAAAAAGGGTTGTAATATAGGGTGCAGTCACATGATACCCACTTAACAACTAGCATGCCTTATGACTGTAATTCCAATCTTAATTAGGTTGTAAGTCGAGGACTACCTTGCACACCAGAGAATGGAAAACATGAGCTTAGGAAAAAAAACATTAAATGCTAATGCAAAAATACATCTCAACTTCTCTTTCAATCTTTCCCTTGAATCTGGAACTACTTACCAGTGTCAAGCTTCTCTTCATTGTTCATCTCCATGACTACAAATTTCTCACAGACTGCAAATGTAGGCAAAGTAGAAGCGATGAACTGTCCAAACCTTGAAAAATAAAAGGAGGAAAATGGCAGGCCCTTGTGTGACAAGTAATGTTTAATTTTGCTAGTTGTTAACGTCAGCTGCACCGTAAAAGTTAACATTATGTGGCAATGGATTAAAAAAATGTAGATTGTGGTGACAGCTGATTTAGAATTAAAATTGCCCTGGTCCAGAATAATATCCTTCCTCACTCTACCGAAACACGGCTTGTATTGCTGGAGATTCTAGTATTGAGGTGTCAGAATGCAACGTAGTTGGGAGAGGTGACTTGTAAAAGCCAAGACACCTGTGATAATGGCACAATTATTACACATAAACAGTAAATTATGTATCTATATAAAAAAAGCAAAATATCACTCACACAACATCACAAAATCTCCAGAAGTGTAAAGCCTACAATCTTGAAATTTGGCACAAATGTTCCACTTGGCTTCTAGGTGCTCACTAAGAAAGGATTTTTCGAAATGACCATCAGAGCATTGGAATGTCATATATTATGATTAACATGCTCTGATGCTAAGGAGTTCTACTCCCCCTCCCCACCTGAAAAGAAATCTGTTCCAAATGCAAAACACAAGAAGATGAGTTTCAGTTTCAGAGCAGCAACCAGCTTTAGTACAAAGCAGTTGAGCTAAGCCCAGGCCCCTTGCTGTCTCCTTCTTGCTCACACAGCAAATATTGTTTCAGTTTCCAAACAGCCCTCAACACACTGTCAGGAGCTAGCCAGATGAATACTGATGGATGCTGGTAGGAAGAGGCAGAATTTTCCCCCTCTTGCTTTCCTCCCCCAAAACTAAGCCCAACCACATAGTTTCTTAGTGAAGCACGGGTATTGAGCTAGTTTCAAATAAATTACACTAATTAATTAATTAATCAATCAATTAATTAATTATAATTATTATTATTAATTTTGGAACTGACACCGATTTTGGAATGCAGAAAATATTACATTTTCCAAACATTACATTACATTTTCCAAGCATGATAAAACTTAATACAGGTAGTCCTCGACTTATGACCATAATTGAGCCCCAAATTTTTGTTGCTAAGAGAGTCATTTGTTATGTGAGTTTTGTCCCTTTTTTGCCACAGTTGTTAAGTGAATCACTGCAGTTGGTAAGACAGTTTAAGACAGGTTACGTGAATCTGGCTTCCCCATTGACTTTGCTTGCCAGAAGGTAGCCAAAGCCGATTACATGACCCTGGGACACTGCAACCGTCATAAATATGAGTCAGTTGCCAGGCATCTGAATTTGGGACCATGGGAACACTGCAAAAAGGTGAAAAATGGTCATAACTCACTGTTTTCAATGCCATTGTAATTTCAAACATTAGGTCATTAAATAATGTGTTTTAAGTTGAGGACTACCTATAGTAACCATCCAATAAATTCTGGCCCTGTTTTAAACATTTTCCTCCCTCATAGAAAAATCTCCCACATTTCTATGTGGGACTAGAGAAATGTGCCCTCTCAGAGGCACCAGCACAGTCTCCAATTTCTGTAGGAAGAAAATCCATAGTGAATCTCGATGTTACCTGAGTAGGTCATTGCTACTAGGAAACCCCTGAAGCAAATAGCTCAGAACGTTGCTGATAGCGGCAATGGTTGGCTGTGATAAAGACATATCTCGGAGAGTGAGCAGGAGTTTGGGGATTAGCTGGAATTCCCTCATCAGTTTTGCATTTTTTGACGCTTCACTGTAAGGGAAAGAACAATGTAATAAGTAAGAAAATAATTGTCATTCTTACTAAAAAATGACAAGCGTCTTACATTATGAATTATTTTTGGAGTCAATCATATCTATGCATCAATCTACAGATATATCAATTGAGAAATCTGCATGGCTGGTATCATATTGTACTATTTAATTCAAAAACACCCACGTTTGTTTACTTAGTTACCCCAATTATTATATCCAAACGTGTTTTTGTTTGTTGAAACCTTTTATAGTTAGCTATTTTACATAGGTTCCTAATATAACGAAAGTCAAATGTTGGTTATCTCTTCTATGCCCCAATTCTGGATATCACTTCAAGAAATCCATTAAACATTTTGGAAGACAAGATCTGTTCATATATTGGTAGTTTCCATGACTGATTTCAAAACCAAGCATTATTCAAATGAGACTTTCAAGAGGTGCTGTATTTTCTGCAGAACTGTATATTTAACTGTAGTTGTAGTGTGTGTGTGTTTGTGTGTGTAAAGGTGTACAGGATATAATTATACCTATACTCTGTATTCAAAGTGCAAAAATAGCACCTGTCTACAATATCTTAAAACAATTTTGTCTTTTCTAAGATTGCAACTGAATTAAAGCATTGGACTCCTTTACATTCTAAAATTTCATTTGGTGATTTAATCCAAACAACTGTGTGGCTTTAAACACATATATAGTTTATCATGAGATAAGATATCCTTCCTAGTCCTCCATCACCTCAAAAAACAAACAAACACACACACACACACCACAGAGAATTAATCATGTTGTATAAGAGGATTAAACAGGGCCACCGAACAAAATTTTCTGTGAATACCGATGGAGGGAAAAAACCCGAGGTGTTAAACTTCTTATACTGTTTATAAAACAATATTTATAGTGTTACCTGGACTCAGTAAGAAGTTCGATGAAATGTTCAAATAATGAAAGGTGAAGTTCGTAGGGGGCATGAAGCCAAACCTGAAATGCAAAAATATTTATAATTTTTTACATGCTGTTAATTTAGCGTGCACGAGGGCGGGGCGCATGCAGGAGACGTGCAGGGGGCATGGGGAACATGAGGGGTCGTGCATGCATTGCATTATGGGTGCAGGCACACGTGTGAACAGCCACACGTGTGTGCGCACACACGCACGCACTTTCGGCACACGGTGACGAAAAGGTTAAGTCATCACTGCCATATGCCACCTGAAGCAAAAAAAACCCAAACCCAACAACCCGCTTCTCCCCTCCCAATACATGTTATCTTTCACGCAATGCTATTACAACAGGTTTGCTAATTAATCTTTTATGGCTAAAGTTCAGAAATATTCTCAGTACCTCAAAATCGCAAAGCAGATCCTGAAAAGCAGTTGAATTTGGAATAATGGATGTTTCGTGTCCGCTATCCACTGTCCCCACTAAAGAAAAGGTCAGATGTAGAATGTGGCTGTTCAAAAGGCAACGCTTCTTCTTTAACAGCATGGCCAACAACTGGAAGCAGATGGAGACACATAGAGATATTGAAGCGTTCTGAATTTTGTAATCTCACAGGATTTTTTGCAGACAGACAGAAATATTCATTTCATCCTAGCATAGAAAAACAGTCGGTCCCACAGCGAAGCTTTCTTATGAAAGGTCCTTGGTGCTCTCTGAGCTTGGTTGCTTCCTTGCAGGCATTTCATTACCAAACTAGGTAACATCATCAGTGCCAGTAAGGAATGGGGCTTGCTCTCAGTTTACATTCTATAATATTATTATTATCTAGAATATAAACGGAGAGCAAACATACTCCTTACTGGCACTGATGATGTTATCTAGTTTGGATAAGGAAAGGTCTTGCAAGAAAATAACCAAGCCCAGAGAGCACCAAGGACCCCTCATTTCAACCCTGACCTACAAACATTCTCCTTTCTTAGGTAAAAAAACTAGAACTTCCAAATTTATAGTAAATAGAAAAAAACCAGAAATAAAATTGAAAGTAACCCCAGCATAATAGGCACTGAGAAGTGAAAGAAGGAAATTATCTGATTCTTGCTACTGAATTGTTCAAAACCCATATTTTTCAGAAAGGAAAATAAATAAATAAATTCAATGGAGAGAAGGAAATGTACCTGCCAGGGCACTTTATAATTAAAGTCTTGTTTAGGTGAATGTATTTTTTTTAAAAAGGGGCAGGCCTTTGAAAAAAAGGGTTTTTGCTTCTCTGGATCCATTTTCTTGAAATTTCGGAAAGCTTTTGGCTTTTGCATTCTGAGAACTAAATCATTTCTATATCACGTACTAATAACATGGGTGTATAATATGTACTTGTGTCATTAAATATGTATCTATATATTTATAGTACTAGCCCTTAGATTTATATACTGCCTTATAGTGCTTTACAGCCCTCTCTAAACGGTTGAAAGTCAGCATATTGCCCCCCACAATCTAGGTCAGGGATGTCAATCTCAAGTTGTCACGGTGGCGTCACATGATGTATCCCCCTTTGCTAAACCACGTGGGAGTGGTGCCAGCGCATGACGCATCCGATCCATGGGCCACACGTTTGACAGCCCTGATCTTGGTCCTCATTTTACTGACCTCGGAAGGATGGAAGGCTGAGTCAACCTTGAGTCGGTCAGCATCGAACTGCTAGCAGTGAGCAGTTAGCCTGCAATACTTCCTTCTATAACCACTGCATCACCATGACTCTTCATATATTATATATAATATCTTATTATTATATGTTATGCCTTATTCTGATGGCAAATTTATAATTTAATTATTATTCTCATATTTTTTTAACTTTTGGGAAGCCAGATCACTAATTGACATGATCACTAATCTGATCAAGTCAATTAAATTCTCGGTTCATTTGGGGTGGTGAAAAAGAAACCCACTTCTCATCCTGCCAACCTCAATTCAGAAGCTGAAGCTCATTCCAAATCATGCAAATATAGTTGCTGGATCACTGCAGGAGATGCTATCTGGCTTTGGATTAGAACAATAAACCTTTTTTCTTGTGATGGAAAAAAACCTTCCCGTTTTGCAGGAGAGGCTTCTGCCATGTACCCGAATGAAATGTTACATTTTGCATCAATTATATAACTAAAATGAGCTCCACTAAATGTCCTTCAGTGGACACAGATGGTGTAGTGCCCTTGATCGCCCCAGAAATAAAGCTTCCCGTTTGCTTCTCTTCAGGATCCTATGAGTGCTTCCTTTCAATCTGGCAAACACTAAATGTCTCTGCTGAGCTAGCAGCTGACCGTGTTGTGCTGCCTAAACTGTAAAGCCATGGCATCGTGCTGTCACTACTTGAAATTTTGCAATACAATTTGGTCAGGGAATTGCGCATTTTATCGACCTCGGAAGGATGAAAGGCTGAATCAACTTTGAGCCTGGTGAGATATGAACTGCCGAATTGCAGGCAGCCTGCAGTCAGCAGAAGTAGCCTGCAGTACTGTACTCTGACCACTGCGCTACCATGGCTCATGCAATGAATTTCACCCAAATGTGGTCCACACAAGCATTTTTGTCTATCTTTATTCGCACCTGGTAACCTTTGATTCTTTCCATTTCTTTGCTAGCGAGAGGGTTGCTCTTGACAACACAAACAAGGGCTTTCACGGCAGCGTAAAGTCCTTCTACGTCTGATGCCATGGCTACTAGGCCCAAAATAGCAGCAGCTCCACCAATGTATTGCAGAGTAGTCGCAACAGGTTTAGGGACAAATGTTCTTACCCCTGCATGGAGGTGGCAAAATGAAATGAAAACATCAGTTTTACAGGATAGTCATCAACTTAATTATTACTTCAAAAATAAACAGCATATGTTTTAATTTCCTTTATCTCGCCTTTTTAAAAATAACAAATGGAAAAAAAAACCCGTATCATATGAGTTGTTGGAATTACACTGCTCATCCTGTAGAGGTTGCCAGCAATGGAAGATAAAGACAAATAATCAGTTCAAACTTTTTGTATTCATACTCCTATTAATATTAGGAATATTCAGATTCCTAATGCATATATATAGAGGGTCTTTTATGCAGGAAACAACAGGAGCTACAGTCCTTGTTTACCGACCATTCACTGATGGTCAGAAGTTATGCCAGGGCTGAAACAAAACCTTCACAGCCCATTTACAAACTTTGCAACACCTCAGTCACGCGATTGCCATTACAGTAAATACACACTGTCCTATGTCTAAGCTGTTTCTTTTTCTTTTTTGCCCTTGCACAACAGAGACATTGGAGAGAAAGGAACTGCAAAATAACAAGCATTTGCTCTTCTACACACTGAAAGCAATGTATTTGCATCAGAAGCCCAGGGTTGGAACTCGGTGTTTATAGTATTTTTGCAGTCCCTTCCTTTCTAATCTTTCCATTCTGTGTTGATGGGAGAGGAGAAAAAAGCAAGCAAAATCTCACCATTGCCTGACCATTTCCCCCACAGAGCAAGTGTTTGGAGAGAAAAGTATTGCAAGAGAGTAAGCTGTTTTCTATACATCAAAAGCAATGGGATTATGTCAGGCGTGGGAAAGCAATCCCAATTGGGATCGACAACTTGGCTGTCAAGTGAAGTGAAAATGTGACTGCTTGCAATCTTACTTCCTTTCTTTACAGACTTGCAAAGGTTGTCCATATGAGGATTGGCTGCAAAGTTAGATTTTCATCACCTTTGTAACTGTGAATGGTTGCTGTAGGAGACAGTTGCCAAATAACAACTATCTGTTAAGTTTTGTGATCAGGACTGGACATCTTTCGCAACTGAATGATCCCTCCTTAAATATTTGATACTGTACAGTAATTTTTAATGTAACAGACTGCAGAAGCATTACATACTTGAGTAAGCACCATACAAAGCATTTATTAGTTTATTTTAATGTTTTCTCACCCAAATATCCTATCAAAGCTGCGCCAATGGTACGCGCAGGTCCATTTAAATGTCCTCCTGAATTGTGGAGCAGTTTTACCGGAGTGGCATTTTCATGAGATGAAATAGCTAGCTAATGAGAAAGAAACAAACAAAAAACTTTGTTTAGACAGAGTTTATAGGAACAATATTTTTTGAACATTTTCACAGATTGGCAGGAAAACACACTCCTCAAGCCTAAGAGAAGAATGATCAGATATGATTCTGTGATTTACAAAAGCAGAAGAATAATACAAAGGAATTGTTTCCTTGTATAATGGAAGAAACATTTTATTTTTCAGTTGGACAATATCAGAAACCATTTAGAAAACATCTTTAATTTCCCCAGATAGAAGATAAATACTTGGTGGACACTTGTCATCACTTACGCCAAGCTTCTAACTCTCACATCCAAACCTGTCGTTAAAGGGAATCATTCATTTCTAAAAGCTATGAGAGGATGTAGCCTCTTAAGTAGAATGAATTATGGAGAAGCACACAATCAACAACTTCTCTTTTTTTGGTACATAGCCTCTAAACAGACTCTTCAATTTTTTCAGCCTCTCTTAGAAAGCATCTCTTTCTCGATCAATTCATAAGCAGTTTGTTTTTGGTGGGTTCCCATTATGCACCTCTATTATAGAAACATGTATAGTAGTCATTGGCTTACAACTACAATTTCCCTTGCCAAAATTTCCATTGCTAGGCACGACAGTTATTATGAGTCGTCGTCGTGGCATAGTGGTTAGAATGCAGTACTGCAGGCAGGCTACGTCTGCTGCCTGCCGACTGCCTGCAATTTGGCAGATTGAATCTCACCAGGCTCAAGGTTGACTCAGCCTTCCATCCTTCCGAGGTGGGTAAAATGAGGACCCAAAATTGTTGGGGGCAATATGCTGACTCTGTAAACAGTTATTTATGGGCTGTAAAGCACTGTAAAGAGGTATATAAGTCTAAGTGCTATTGCTATTGTTAAGTGAGTTGTGCCCCATTTTACAACCCTTTTGCCAGAGTTGTTGAGCAAATCACTGCAGTTGTTTAAGCCAATCTGGCTTGCCCCATTGACTTAGCTTGTCGGAAGCCAGCTAGGGAGGTTACAAATGGTGATCACATGACTTCAGGACCACACAACTTCAATAAATACATGGCAGTTGCCAAAGATCCAAATTCTGAACACATGGCCATGGGGATTCTGCAGTAGTTGTGTGTGTTATAAATCATTTTTTTCAGAGTCTTGTAACTTCAAATGATCACTAAACAAAGTGGGTAAGTCAAGGATTACTCGTATATCATATGAGATTACATAGCCAGTATCCACTGGAATACTCCAAAGTGGAAATTAGCTGGAATAACCCATTTGTCCCTCCAAAGTATAAAAGAGGTTAAAAAAAAAGGATACTTTTTAAACTACCTGGAGTCACCAAGAGTGAGTTGGGTTGACATATAGCAATAGCAATAGCACTTAGACTTATATACTGCTTCACAGTGCTTTACAGCCCTCTCTAAGCGGTTTGCAAAGTCTCTTTATTTTCCTCCCCAAAAACTAAGTCTGATCACATAATTTCGTAGCGAAGCATGGGTATCCAGCTAGTTTTCTTAATAAAGAATATTTAGGAACTAATTACTTACTTCTTCTTTGTTAACCTTTAGCTATGCACATTCTCTTCAATCCTGGGATGCATCCATGTGCAGGCCCAATATACAAGCACAACCTATCATAAAAGATGCTTGCTGATCTGCTGACTCTCATATATTAAATATTGTGTGAGGTTTACTGATGGTCAAAGTTGAGTATTAGCAACATTTGTTGAGTCAATACTGAAAACTAACAAGGGACACATAAAAAAAGTTTTCAGCTTACCTGCTTGGCTATGGCCTTACTGTCCAATTTGTTATAAACTTTTCTAATCCTTGCTACCGTGAGTGAAGAAACAGAGAGCGCATAAAGGCCAAAAGATACTTTCTCCTCTGGGACCAATGAGACTGGAGACGGACTGATTCCTTCTGCTTTGGAATCTTTGCCTTCAAACGAGAGAAAATTTCACCTGTGAGATGATATAAATACAGACTACAAACCAGATGACATACAATTTTTAGACCAAATCTCAATCCAAATGGGAATGCCCTAGGAGATTTCAGAGAAGGACAAGGTTTCAGAATTAGCTTCTACAGGTAGTCCTCCACTTACAACAGTTTTCTTAGTGAATGTTCAAAGTTACAATCGCACTGAAAAAAGGGACTTATGACCATTGCAGCATCCCTGTGGTCACATGATTTACATCACCGACTCACATTTATGATGGTTGCAGTGTCCCAGGATCACGTGATCCCCTTTTGCAACCTTCTGATGAGGAAAGTCAATGGGGAAGCCAATTTCATTTAACTAATTTAACAACTGCGGCGATTCCCTTAACAAACGTGGCAAGAAAAGTTGTAAAATGGGGTAGAACACACCTAACAAATTTCTCTCTTAGCAACATAAAGTTTAGGCTTAATTGTGGTCGTAAGTTGAGGAATACCTGATTTGCAATGTAGGTATAGTGCAGCCTTATGGGTTATAGAGAAATATTTAGCCTAAGATCTAGTCAATAAGGGCAGCAATTCTAAAGCCAATCAAATGTTCATCCTTCCAGTACCTTGTTTGCTACTATAAGCACAAATGCAATTGACTTCACAGTAACTAGAACTTTGAAACAAGCTGCCCTCCTTGCATGTAAATTCTAAAATTTACCCACGTCATGCATGGACCCTTCACAATACAGCTGTAGTTGCTATAATAAATGAGTTGCAACTTTCCCTCCTTTCCAATTGGTCTCACCCTACTCTGTTTTGCAAAGGCTCAGTTGTTTTCCTAATTGAAAACAAAGCTCCAGCAGCACATTGGCCCAATTACCATTACAGGGACTGTGTATGAAATACTAATTGTCCTCTCCCAACAAAGCAGAACTGCTATAAGAACGGGAAGGGTAAATCTCTGCTCCTGGTGATCCACCCAGATTCGATCTTGCATCATTATCCTGGGACATGTATATATATATATATATGGGTTTGTTTTGCACCACTCCTACCATATAACTTTCTGTCTGCAGAGTGGAAGAGCAAAACCTAAATGGCTAACTCTTAACGTCTGAACATCTAAATTCAAACAACATACAGAAAACTTAAATAAATCATAGTTTTATAGGTAGTCTTTGCTTCCCGACCACAATTGGGACTAGCAACTCCACAGTTAGGTGCTCCGGTTGCTAAGTGAAAAAAATCATGTGACCACACCTGACTTAAAAGCAGCTTCCAACTTGTCATTAAGCAAATCACAGCGGTTGTTCATTAAGACATTATGTGATTGCAACTTGCAATCTCACTGCTGTGTTGTCCATTATTTCTGCTTGTAGAAAGCGGGTTGTGAACTGCACCAAGGACAGCTGTGACTATAGGAAGCAGCAGTTACAACCATTGTAAATGACAACTTGCAATGTTGAAAAATTTCTGAACAAGGCAGTCAGTGAGCAAGGAATACCTGTATATTTTAATTAATTTGGGATTTGGTTCCGATTTGAACGTCACACAAAACCCATCATATAAACCTGAAGATTATATTTAGCTAGCAAGCATGATATGTAAGAACATGCTAAAATGGCACATAAATTAAATTAATTAAAATTATTAATGTATTTTTATGAAAATTTGATCTCTAAATATGGCTCTTTCCAAATGCATCGTCCTCAAATATTTAGGGCTACCGTTTCTAGTAGATGGAACTGGTAAGACCTTTGGTCAAAATATCAATTAAATATTTCTCTTTAGAAACATTTAAAGCTAGCTCAATACCCGTGCTTCGCTACAAAACTATATGGTCAGGCTTAGTTTTGGGGGAGGAAAATAAGGGAAAAAATATTCTGCCTTTGCCTATCAGCATCTGGCTAGTGTCCTGTCAGTGTGTGAGAGAGTTGAGGGCTGTTTGGAAAGTGAAACAGTATTTGCTTTGTGAGCAAGAAGGAAACAGCAAGGAGCCTGGGTGTGGCTTAGCTAAACTGTTCTGTACTAAAGCTGCTTGGTGCTGTGAAACTAAAACTGAAACTCCTCTCCTCTGCTTGTGTTTTGCATATGGAAGAGATTTCTTTTCAGGTGGAGAGGGGGAGTAGAACTCCTTAGCGTCAGAGCGTGTTAATAATAATATAGGAAATACTAACGCTCTGGTGGTCATTTATTTGATAAACACTGATCAAATCGTTATTATTATAAAGAATAATTTACAAAACTTGTTTTTCACATAATCTCAGAAACAACTAATATCACAATTTCAAACCTTGTTTACCCAGAAGCCTCTCTGCGTTACACCTAGTAAAATCAGCAGTAGATGCTGGATGAATCTCTCTGCTGTACATCTTCCTCTTTTTATCCTGAAGCCCAAACTAAAATATTTTTGAGGAATAGCTTCTTGCCCCTTTACAAAATACTGTCAAGATACTGTGTTTTTTGGGAAAAAAAGTTATACTGTCAAAAGTCATATTTTAAAAAAAAGATATTTAAATTATGATTTGTTTTTACTTACAAGGCATATATACAGCTTGGAAACTTCCAACATAGTTTGGGCCAAGTTCATAAATTGTGCTAATGCTTGATGGAGGTAAGACTTCTTCTAGGAAATGGGTTGGTCCCAACCGCCAAACGAGTGACGAGAGCTGTCGCTGGGCAGGCGGTGTGCCTATATAGGCATAAACTGTACTAACTATTGGTGGATTGGCACAACTTGAACCGCCAGGACTACTGTGAATATAGTGAAACTGTAAAATACATTAATGCAAAGACTATCATACCTATTCTATAGACAAATAAAGTTACATGTTCTACCTATGATTAATCCCGATAGGCCAGAGATGGCTAACCTTTTTGTTGTCACGTGCCGAAAGTGCACACGCAAGCCTGCACCCATAATGCAATGCACGCACACACCCCGTGCTCCCCCACTCCCTGCGCATGCGTGTGGGAGCCCCTGCACCCCCGTGTCCTCTGCGCATGTGCGCGCCTCCCACATGCACCCTGTGCATACATGGCAGATACCCGAAAATCAGCTGGCTGGCGGGAGGCGCACACGCATGCACAGTGGAACTGAGCTTGGACGATGGTTTGTGTGCTGGCTGAGATGGCTCTGCGAGCCACTACTGGCACGGGTGCCATAGGTTTGCCATCACGGCCATAGGCTGCCACCAAACCATCTAGCCATTTTCTACTATATTGCTCCGTGTACATAAGAAATCAATAAAACTAGCACCATATCTAGCTTATTTTGACATTTCTACATGCTAAGAAAGGAAAGAAATGTTTATTCAGGCTACTGTCCAATTAAAAATATACATAATCTAATTATAAACATTTTAATCTGATGAAATCTGCATGCATTAAGCCTGCATTTAAGAGAGTAAATATGCTGTATAAACATATCTGAACTTTCAGATGTATTTAAGGAGATAAATTTATTTATTTTTTGGCATCAGACACCACCACTGAGGATAAGAAATACAGGTATTTCTCTCTATATTCCCCTCTCTCCCCACTCCACGGCACCCACAATTTTCTGCACTCCCTCATTTTCATGCTGGAAGAAAGGAAGAAGCAAGGTGCCTGTCAGGCTCAAAGAATCAGCACCATTCATGAGATTGCAGCATAATCCATAATCCAAAATCTGATCAACTAACGTTCAATGCTGCATTAGTACCAGATAAGGATCAATGGAATTCAGGAGGAATTGGACTTAAGAGCATTTATGGTATCGTAACGATTCTAAGCTGATGCTGCACTTAACTCTGCTCCCCAGTTCTGTCTGCTCTTTTCTTACAGTGCCCTCTGTCACACATTTTGATATATTTAATCTAATCTGTTGCTTTATAGGGAGATCATTAATCTCTCCTAGGGAGTAACAGGAGGCAAGGTTTCCTCCTGGCTGGATTAATGTGAAGAAATTCTTTCATTTCACCCATTAGCATAGGGCACCTTTTACCTAAAGATAGTGAAAGAAAATAATTAAATTCCTCCTTCTTCAATTTTGACTAGGTGGTGGGGAACGGATCAAATTATGGATTTGCCCCCATTCTATGATATCTTGGGCATTAAACAACCTGTTTTTTAACCCTCATACAAGCTCTTTTAGATGGACTATATGGGGAAAAATTGGATATTTACAATTCCCCTATTCCTCTTGTGAATTAGGCTTGTAGTACTGGATGGGGTGCTAGTGTCTGATGCAGTCTATCTTTGGTTCTAATATTCTGCATGCTGTACAAGGATAACTAACTGGATGAAACAACCAAAGGAAATGAAAGCTATTTATCCTTTTGGTGAAAGACAAACAGAATCTATTGCTATTAATTCCATGTTTGCAGGACATTGGGACAGGATATTCTGGCAGCTAGAGCAATAACTCTGACATGACTTACATACAAAGATTTTATGGGGGAACTTAAAGCAGAAAAAGTTATTCTAACTACTAAACAAACTTATCCCTTCTAATTCTGAGGAACTACAAACAAAACTTTTCATTTCTCAGAAATGCATAAGAAAACATCTGTTCACATCATGTCAAACGAAACAAACAAAATGTTAACAAGTTAGGATATTCATGTAGTTACTTACCAAGCACATCTAAATTATATTAAAGTAACCAAAATATCTTTACAACCCCCAAGGCATGTCACAACTTTGTAGCACCCCTAATGTTTGGAAATTGAAAGCTGAAAAGCATGCCCTAAGTCTCATATATCACATAATTATCATTGCTGTTTTGATATATCTACTCTTCATTTTTATTCATTTTTAAAGAGCATGTTTTGCAACATTACACAACATACTATACAGTATTAGGAAATTACAGCCACTGTTTTACTTTATTTGAAGTTCATCTCATAGTTAGAATATTTCTTTACATGCGCTGTGTTGGTCCCTTGCATTTTTTTTACATGAAATAGACCAGAGGTCTCCAAACTTGGCAACTTTAAGACTTGTAGACTTCAATTCCCAGAATTCTGGGATACCAGAATACCAGTACGAGTTCAGATTAAGTTGAGCTTTATGAGTTTTTATTTATTCCACAATGTTAATTCTAAACATTTTGCAATATTGTTATATTGGACCACCACACTGGCTTGATTTTCTGTTACTTGTAAAAGTGTTATGGTTTTCCAGACTAGGATATTCTTCTAAGCCACTCAATTTGATATGGATTAAGCACTGATATCTTTTATTTCATGTATGCATTTAATGAGTCAATTATGGGTTTTTATAAGAATAAGGAGAGCAGCAAACAATTCTTCCTCAGGTTGGACTAGAGAACCAAACAGAGCAGCACAAAAAGCATGAGAAATCTTTTTAAAGATGACCAAATAATGCAGCTTTGATTTCAGAAAGCAAGATGCCATTTTCATATGAATAGCAATTACCTGTGATACAAGGACTTTGATGTTGCACACAACATTATCATGCAAGTTTTGTCATTTTGACAAAATCTGGGCTTGCTACAGAAACCCCTGACAAACATGAACTTAATGTCACAAAGTGAAACAATATAAAAACTAAAGGTTTCCCCTGTCTAATCGTGTCCAACTCTAGGGGGTGATGCTCATCTTAGCTAAAGGAGTGTTGTTCGAAGACACTGCTGTGGTCATCTGGCCAGCATGACTATATACCAAGGAACACAGAATACTATTACCTTCCCACCGGAACTGGTACCTATTTATCTACTCACATTTGCATGCTTTGGAACTGTTAGATGGGCAGGAGCTGAGGCAAGCAACGGGAACTCACCCCATCACGTGGCGCTCAGGTCTCAAACCCGGGCTGTCAGCTTTCCAGCTGACAAGCTCAGTGTCTTTAACCGCTGAGCCACTGCACCCCTGAACCAACATAGAGCAACTACCAACAGCATTTGAGAATATATACCATCACATATATTTTCTAGTAAGGGGTAGGAGCTATAATAGACTTTGAATTTACCTTGACTGTATTAATCAGCTGTCCATCAATGTAAAGTGCAGCAGTACTATTTTTCAGCATGCCTTTGCTCATTACCAGAACCATGTGATGCCACTGGCCTTCCACTATGTGGTCACCACAACGAAAACGAGCACAACAGGGCAGAATCTCATAGCAGGAGGACTCCTCATTGAAGTCATCAGCTGGAGACAAAAGAAGATTGAATGAGAGTTTCAGCTGCCAAAGGTATAGTGCCAATGGTCAAACCTAAAATGAACTAAACAGTTTGATATGCACAATTCCCCATTAAAAATAATACACCATGAGAACGGAACTCTGATTTGGCTTCGGATTTATCAAATCAAAACATTAGAAAATCAGTGTACAAAGCAGTTAACCACTTGAATGTTTGCATTTAGCAACACCATCACAATAAAGAACCAGATACAGAAAAGAATCAGAGTTAAGATTACATCAGATTAATTAATAAATGTATATTAATTTTAATAGACTATCCATTTTCATTTACTAGGAAAGCCGTTTGGAAGAGAATCACAGGGATTGAACTTTCACTACTAGCAACATTAAAAAATTACATTTGGCTCAAATGTCTTACAGGTAATTATCAACTTACGACTGGTCGTTTAGCAATTGGCTAAAGTCATGACAAACTTCCATAGGGGTACTTATAACCCAGTTTTGAAGTACCTTCAGCCAACTCCCTGTGTGGTCAAGACTCCATGTTTGGCGCTCAGCACAACCGGCCCAGATTATGGCCATCTGCAGTGTCCTGCAGTCAATTTTATAACTTTTTTTGTTTATTTTTGCAGAAAGCAAGTTATAAAATTGAATCAGTCATGTGGGTGAGCTAATTTATAACCATCATGACTTACGACCTCATGGCAAGCTCCATTTTGGTTGCAAGTTGAGGACAACCTGTTTAAAACTATTGTAGCACAAGGGGAAAATTAGCTGAAGAACCACTTCATCATACTTGGGTTCAATTTCCATAATTGCAAATTCAGGGTGCTCAACAAATTAAGACTTCAGGTTTACAATCATAGTTGGTAGAAGCCTTAAAAACTGTTCCAGCTCATTGCTTATTCCCCCATTGCTTATTCATGTTTTGTTGGAGCAGGAATGTTATTTCAAAATGAAGCTTGATTGTCCTAAAGTGAAAAAAATATTGATGAAAAATTGATGAAATGTAAGAACAGACAGGCTGGTTCTTACCGTAATTCTGAAGCAGTTCTTCTTTAGTTGAAACGATAAGGGTTCGGTCTTTTACTGAAAGGACGATAGCAAGACATATATAGTGCTGTTCAGAGCTGTTTGCCCGCCTTACAATTGTAAGTAACCTAATTGGATGATAATTTGGGGCTGTGCTAAAATGTTCCACACAAAACCAACTTGAAAAGCTTAATCCAGATGGAGGTGGGAAAAGACGCTCTCCTGTAAGGGAAAAATGACAGGAAATTAGCTATTAACTCTTTCTCCAAATTCTTTACATATCTAGCTTAAATATTTTAATCTTGCAGCTGTCTACACACCTGGATTCTATGAATTTCTGGAAGTGGTAAAAATAAAAATATTACTTATTTAAAGAATCTAATTCTAATTCTGCTTTAGATCACTTTTTTCAAAAATGCATCTTACTGATGCATGTTCAGTCATCATGTATTGTGGGCTACTCATACATGATCATATAATAATAACAAATTAGTATAAAAATGTTGTCCACATCAAATATAAAATCTGAAAGAATATGAAATTAAGTAATTCATTAATGCATCTGGGAATCATTGCTCACACTTCACAATTGCTATTGAATAGTAAATATAGATGTGATATATATTCAATCACAATTTTTTTTATGATACTTGTTATTTGTTTTGACTGCTTGCAGCCAATTACTAAATATTTTCTTATATTATTTCCTAGTGTATAAAGGGAAGGGAAATGTTGACACAGTGCATTAAAAGCTTCCTCCTTCCCTTCCTTCCATTTATATACAACCTATTTTCTGCAGGCTTCTGGTGATTTACATCACATAAAACCCTTACATTAAATCATTCACTCAATTGTTAGAGGGTTTGGCTATGCTCTAATAATCAGTTAAATTGAGTTGTTGTAACTCTTCTACCACTTTACTCTGCTTATGATTCTCACAATATAGTGGAACACTGGCATTTTGCCTTCATGAGAAATATAACCAAAAATGGTCATCAGGAGATTATTCTGTTAAAAAAAATACTATCCTGACACTAAGGTAAATTTACAGGTCCTAGTATGAAGTTATATACCAGGGTCTGAAATTCAAGGCCCGGAGGCCAGATCCGGGCCGCAAGGTGCTTAGATCTGGCCTGGGGGGGCTACCTGCAAACATTGAAGGACTGGCTCGCGGTGCCTCTGCCAGCGAAAATGGAGCTCAGGTGGGCCTCAAGCAGCCCTCCCAAGCTCCGTTTTCGCTGGCAGAGGATAGCAGGAATCTATCACAGCCAAAAACGGAGATCGGGAGCCCATTTTTGCTAGCAGAGTACTCGGGCCACCATAGGTGCCCCCAACATAAGTGATGGAAGTTGGCCATGCTCACCCCAGCCTCCCAAGGTCAAACACATCCCTGATGCTGCCCCTCAATGAAATTGAGTACGACACCCCTGTTATATACCAAACATGAACATGAAGATATCACATTGCTACTCTCAGAAAACAATACACAAAACACATCTATCTAAGCAAGCCAGAGATGAGGAACTATGATCCCTTTATGACTTGTGGACATCAACTCTGTGAATTTCTGAGCTGGTATGGCTGGTTCACACGTCATAAAACAACCATAGTTTCCTAACCCTGATCTAAGCAGACAACAACCAAGGACTCACCAGTTCCAATTCCACTGACTACAGTGCCATCTATTAGTCCTGTAGTAACAACATTATTGGTTGGTGCATTGTGAGGTGCCAAACTAGGTAAGAACAGGCAACTATGAAAGAGAGATGAATGAATTGGAACAGTTTCTGAACAATAAATGAAATCAACAATATATATGGTAAATTAGATCAAAAGTTAGCTCTTTTGCAAATTATCTGGACTAAAAATGATGAAAGTAACATCAATACATTATTAAAATTCTTCTGTTTGTAACATTCAGTTGGGAGAAACAGTGCATTATGGGGCAATTAACATACTTCAAGTGGGCCAACTTAAAGATCAAAATTTAGATATTTGGCAACTGGCATGTATTTATGATTTCCCAGGGTCATGTGGTTCCAATGTCCCAGGGTCATGTGATCGCTTTTTGCGACCTTCTGACAATGGAGAAGCCAGATTCACTTAACAACCATGTTACTAATTTAACAACAGCAGTGATTCACTTAACAATTGTGGAAAGAAAGGCAGTTAAATGGGTCAAAGCTCACTTAACAATTGTTCTGCTTAGCAACGGAAATGTTGGCCCCATTATGATTGCAAATGGAGGACTACCTCTATCTCTGAAATGATGACCGAATGGATCACAGGTTGTCAAGCCAGCAACATATCATAGTAAATTGTACATCACCTAAATTATTTTTTGAAACTATATATCTTTCTTGATTTTTTTTTTAAAAACAGTAAAATATAAACATGTTTTTTGGACTACAAGACACACCGGACAATAAGACGCACCTTGGTTTACAGGAGAAAAACAAGAAAAAAATAGTTTTTTGCCTCTGCGCATCCCGTTTTTGCCCTCCCCAGCATTCAGAAGCAGTCTGCAAAAACTGGACCCGTGGAGGCCTCCGGAGGCCAAAAACAGGCACATTTTTGGCCTGCAGAGTGCTTCTGGACACAGGAGAGGCAAAAATGAGACATATAGAGATTTTGGGAGGCCAAAAATGGGCCCGTATTCACTGTATAAGACGCACAGACATTTCCACCCACTTTTTTTGCAGGGGAAGTACGTCTTATAGTCCAAAAAATACAGTAATATCGTTGCTTTTAATGTTCTTAACTTTTCTTGCATTTTGAGGGGGAAAACAGTAGAAACTTTCCCGTAAGCCTAAAATAAAACTGTCATACCTTAAAACTGATAAATAACACCCATTCTCTCAGTTGCACCCACATGCATGATGTTCCCTCATCGTTTTGCATCACTGTACCATTTACTGGACCCGAAATATGTTTTCCCGCCTCCCATAAATATTTCCAAATGTCAGGAGGCATTTGCCGTTTGTTTTCCACCTGTCTGTGTAATGGTACATTTGTCTCCATTCAGGAAAGTGAAGTACTTGCTAATGTTCTTTGAATATAAGACCCAGGGTTAATAAACCATGGGAAACATCAATCAGATACAGCTACGTCATTCAAAATCAAAGTGTGTGTGTGTTGGAGGGAAGATTCACACAAAAAGATGGCACAATGACACATTGTGGATTTACATCACAATTTTGATGTGTAATCACTGAGCTAGAATTACATCCAAGAATCCTATCATACACCTTTTTTTTCTTTCTTTCTAAAGACAGGAATAAGAATATTTTAAGGAGACAATTCAATATTTCAGCAAGTGAAATACCAAACGTTATAAACTCACATTATGCTTTCACAGTCTTAAATTTCTTTACAGACCAGTACATCAAAAATCCAAGCAATTTCTGGGTACAATTAATTTTAAGAAGTACTAATCATAAAAACAATAATATTCATAACATTAATAATGATCACATAATAATAATAGTATTTGCTTATTCATTTTAGTGAACCTTCCTTATGAAATTAATCATTCCCTTATGCTTTTAAATTTCTAACTACTGTTTTTTGCTAGTTATCCATTGATAAAACAAATCCCATGTTAAAAAGTATTTAGTTTCTCCCTTCTCCTTAATTTTAAATGTTAATCTATCCATTTCTGCACATTCTATTTTTTTTAAATTACATTTTCTTCTGTAAGGATCTCTTCATTTTTTCCACTGTTGTGCAAATACAATTCTAGCTACTGTTAAGACGTGTAAAATTAAATCCGAGCAATTTCTGTAAACCATATAATGAATCATTCTGAGCTTTCTGTGATCACCGTGTGCCTTTCCAGACTTAAGACAATTGGATACAAGGGCCACTTTTAGTGGGGGGAAAATGTTGTAATGCATAAAAAATAATGCTTTCTGGGATGATCTTAAACTTTGTTCCAGAAGAATGTGTAACATCAAAAGCAGCCTTCCATGTCACATTTTATGGTTGTAAAACCAAAACCATCCCCTTAAACCTCCATGAAGAACAATGAATTAAGTTAAAAGATTTTGCGAGACCTTACCCGAACCCTTCAAGAGAAGTGTCAAATTCAATAAAGGCAGGCGTAACGGATGATCCATGAAGTCTAATATCATGAGGGGTTGTCATAGAAACCAAACACTTTACTCTTGTCAGAGGCACGGTGCTTCCTTCAGCTGGCTTCAAAAGGCTCTTGCTAATCCTGTAGTGGCTGTCTTCATGTAAGCTGAACACACAGTCGGAACCAAGCCCTTCCATTGATGTAACCATACTATCTATAGTAGAAATTAAGAAAAAGAGGTGTGAAAAAGAATTGCTGTGTTAATAGCAAATGTGAAAAAAGGAAGAGGTTGAGCTAACGGAGAAAGGGGGGAAAAATAGGTTTGTTGCTTGATGCTAAGTCTCACGTATTCTGATTCACGTATTCTACATGGACTAGATGGTTCTAAAAATGATAGACCGGTTATAAAATCAGTCCTCAAAATCATAATGGAAGTTATAAAAGTCAAGGCTATCCTTAATAGACAAAAGAGCCGAAAAGCCATTTATATAATTGAAAGCGTTTAAAATTTTAACTGGTGAAATTCCAATGAAATCATTCACTGAAACAGACTCAAACCCTCCTTATGCCAGTTTAATTGGGTTGTGAATTAAATGTTAAGATATTCATCTAGTTAATTCTCACACTGTCGAAGAAAATCTATCTATGTGGTCATTAAGAGATAATATCAAGTTTATGGCATATAATCAACCCATCAATCATTGCACATCTTAATGACATACAGTAGCATCCAAATGTATTTTAATTTCCACAACAATGTCTACCTAGTTCAGCCACCTTCTTCCCACTAAGAGAAATCTTTTTCTACTCAGCCTCGTACTGAAAAAGAAATTATTAAGTAAACCTCAGCTATTAAAGACACTGGACTAAATATAGCCGTAATATAGTCAGTCTTTTAATCACAACCAAGGTATGTGACTCTTCTATTATTATCTACAATAATAGAAGTTATAATTATTGGATATACTATTATTACCCAGGCTTTATTCTATTTTTGATTTTAAATCAGACTTTGAAGTTGGTTTCACATCTTAAATTATAGACTGGTCACCAAAAGTGAATATTTAGTCCTGACAACAGAAATCCCTAGAAAGGTTTCAAAGAGAAACACCACATTGTAATAATGTGGGTTTTTTTTCTGGCTCCTTATCCAAGGTTAAACGATTTTTAGAATTGTACTCAATCAAGCTTTTTCTATTACTAATCCAAAAGGCCTCTATAATAACACAAGCAAATCTCATTAGGACTCATTCTAGATTTTGCTCAAAGAATTACGAGATTTTAAGAACTGCTAGAACAGGGATGTAAAACTCAAGGCCTGCGGGCTGAATTTGGCTCACAGGGCTGGCCTGGAAACAGCAAAGGACTGGTCCCCGGTGCCTCTGCTAGCGAAAATGGGGTGCAGGGAGCTGTGCACAACCTGTGCCCTGTTTTGACTGGCAGGTTGCTACAGGAGGCATCCATCCCGTCTCCCCCAACCCACCCAGCCCGCGGCGGAGAACTACAATTCTGATTCAGTTCTCAAAGAAATCCAGTTTGACACCCCTGTGCTAGAAGAATCCCAGATGCATTTTTAATATTTGAACCCTTACTTCTCATCTCTGGTTCATAACTGAGTGAGCTCGGTTTATGTACATGATACCGTTTCAATAGTTTTTTATCCCAGGCTCCACAATTCAGAGGATTTCCCAAACGTAAAAATTCCCTAAAGAAAAATGGAGAGATAAGAGAAGCTTCAGATTATTCTACGTTGCTTTTAACTTTAATCTTTAATCCCTTAATCTAAAGGCTTTCACTCAACTCTTTAATGAAATTTTTAAAAACCCTGAAACTAACCAACGTACAAACACATTAAAAATGTCAAGTCTGTACTGTATATAAACGCACCAGTTACAATTATTCTTCTACTGTTATTTTTCTTATTTACAAAATTTATAGAGTACTTTTTTGTCATTAGATAGAATGCAAAAATCATGAATCAAAAATTGAAAACAATTTTCTTTCAACTTTCTTCTTTGTGGCAGCCCCTGAGATATTGGGACCCTGCAATCATGTCCCTCCTAGTCATTAAACAAGACATACCCAATTAAACTAGACATACCTAGTCCCTCATGTGCCTCTTTTCATTAAACTAGACATACCCAATTTCAGCTACCGTTCTTTGTATGTTTTAGCCTCCAGTCCCCTAATCATCTTGGTTGCTCTTCTCTGCGCTCTTTCTGAATAACAATCTGAACTGAGCCAAACTTTCTCACTTACCGCAGCACCATCGGTTCTAATGCTTGAGAAGCCAACCTTTCAAACATCCTTTGGAGGGGTGGATGCAAAGAATGGTCCTCATCCGTAAGAGCAGCACTGCATTTCTGCAGAAGCCGAGCATGAAGCCCGGCTTCACACATAACTTGTTGATTCCTTTCAGTATGTACAAGAGATTGCAAGATGTTGGCCACTGCAAGCTGGAGATCCAGTGCATGCTATAAATACATAAAGCAAAAACATTGTGTTTGAATATCTACCTGTATAAACAGCGGAGAACTGGCCTACAGTGCCTCTGCCAGAGAAAATGGAGCTTGAAAGGCCCACGCGCACTCTTCCCAGGCTCCATTTTTGGTCATGATGGCCTCCTCTAGCCCTCTGCCAGCAAAGATGGAGCTGGCGGGGACATGTATGTCCCCCCCCAAGCTGCGTTTTCACTGGCAAAGGGCTAGCAAAACAAACTAAAAACAAAACAAAAGGAGAAATGTTGCATTTCTCTTTTGCATTTGAGCATACAATAAGGGACACATTATAAGGGACATAAATAAGTCTTGCCTTAACATCGGCCACCTCTGTGAAAATATTTACAGACCCCCTCACATCCCGGACATAAACTGTTTGTCAGGGTTCTGGCAGTTACTCCAATTAAATCATGAGCCTTGAGCCACGCTCCCAAAACTAAAAAAGATTTTTCTGAAGTTAACATTCTACCTCTGGCATTTACCTGGGCGTAGCCAACTCTGAGATACATAATTCACTGTCACCCTTGATCCTGCTCCCCCCCCCCCCCCGTGTATCATCCAATGAAAAACAATAATAGCCAAGAGTCATCAATCATGCTCTCCAATTAAACTTTTGCATGGCAGAAGCTTCAGTTATCTAATCGGTCTTTGAAGAAAATACGAATGGAATGTACTTTCAATTCCACACTGCTGCTTGTTTTTTGAAACTCCCCTCCCTTCTTTCTATTGTCAACTATAACACTATTAAGTGTTGTACCTTGTACCTTGTGATTCTTGACTCTTGGTGAATGTATCTTTGTTTAATGTACACTGAAAACATTTGCACCAAGACAAATTCTTTGTGTGTCCAATCACACTTGGCCAAAAAAGAAATCTATTCTATTCTATTCATAGGTGCCCCCAACATGAGTGACATCGAGGTGGCCATGTCCACCCTGGCCATGCCTACCCACCCATGCCCATCCCAGGCCCCCGAGGTCAAACATAACCCTGATGTGGCCCTCAATGAAATCCGAATGTGACACTTCTGTTCTAAAGTGTACATTATTACTCGAACAATAGATATAGATCAGAAATGGGAATTTTATGCTGGTTACCAGCCATGACATTAACTCTAAGTAAAACAGGCAGACTCAGATTCCCAACACATGTTGAAAATACATAGGGCAACACCTGGAAGGAGATGTTTTGGGGAAAACCAATAGGATAATTAACTTTTTTTCCTCTAAACATCATGTCAGTGTGTAACCATGTTGTTCCAGGTGCCAATCAAAATACAAACTTTCTTAGATAAACTGAACTAGTAGTGTTAACAGATTCCAGAAAGTAAATATGTCCTAAGATTTAAGTTCACTATGTTTATAGCATTGTTTCTCAACCTTGGCCACTTTTAAGATGAGTGGATTTCAACTTGCATCATGCTGGCTGGGGAATTCTGGGGATTGAAGTTCACACATCTTAAAGTGATCAAGGTTGAAGACCCCTGGTTTATAGAATAGATAGATAGAATTCTTTATTGTCCAAGTGTGATTGGACACACAAGGAATTTGTCTCGGTGCAAATGCTCTCGGTGTACATAAAAAAAAAGATACATTCATCAAGAGTCAAGAAGCATAAGGTACAACACTTAATAATAGTCATAGGGTACAATGAGCAATCAAATCATACTAGGAAACAGTCAATATAAATCGTAATATTATAGAAATTATTGGAATGATACACAATGAAGCAATATTAAGACTCTCACTTCTGGCTGTATAGTTGACCCAACAGAGACCACAAGATCCAGCATAGCCAGCATAGCTCCAGGATGGATAATAACGGCATCCAGATTTTGCAGTAGTATAGTTCCTTTGTGTAACTTCGCATCAGTGGCATTTTTGGAAGGAAACACTGAAGATGCTGCTGACACTGAATGATATGCATGTCTAAAGGCGACAAGGAAAAATGACAGCATTAGACTCTTCTTTCAAAGAGTTGAACTAAGTACTGAATATTTCAAGTTCAAATAATCATAAACTTCACCTATCAATATACAATGATGTTTGTATTACTGTAAATGTCTTAATTTTTTTTCTTTTCCATACTAATTTGCACTTTCTCTTATTTTTACAAGCATCACAGCAATATTTTTTTCCAGAATATTTTTTTGCCCTAATAATTATATGTCAGCTAGTCCAGATGAGCTATAAACCTGTCTGATAAAAAAGAGGACTTCTCATTTAAGAATATTCTCAAATCATCCAGGTCATTGGTTCTCCCGAAGATGCTTCTTCCAAAAAGCAACTGGGCTTAAAATGTTTCGCTTCTCATCCAAGAAGCTTCTTCAGGTCTGATGAGAAGCAAAACATTTTCATAGAAAAACAAAACAAAACAAGAAAATCCAGTGGCTTTTTGGAAAAAAGTACTTTTGGGACAGGAACATTTTTTCTTTCATCCAACTGGATTGAAAAGGAAGCTTGCGTATCATTACCATACTGTGTTATTATATTCTGAACACAACACAAATACAGGTAGTCCTCGACTTACAATCTTTCGTTTAGGGACCATTCAATAGTACAAGAGCACTGAAAAAAGTGACTTATGGCTGTTTTCCACCCTTGCAGCATCCGCATGGTCCTCTGATCAAAATTCAGGTGACAACTGGCATGTAGGTTTTTTTGTACTTTTATTCTCTTTATTTATAATTCTTAATAAAATTATTTGAAAAAAATATACCATAGATAATGTTCTGACCCAGCTCCCCAAACACGACAAACCCTCTGACGTGAACTCAAAAGATCCCTTTATTAGGAGTGCCGGCAGCCTCGGCAAAAAGTTTCTCTCTGAGGCTGACAAGTTCTGGCCGGCCGGAAGACGAATACTTGTCTGCCACATCTATTCATCTCCGCCCCCTGCCTTTTATCCCCAGAGCTAGAGTGGGGCTTCACTATTAGCAGTGGCTCTTCCTTCCCAAGGACTGGCCCATGGATTTCCACTGCTCTCCTCTCCTCTGCCTTCTGCGCAGTTACGCGTCAGGCACTGCACCCAGCTGTTCCTCCTCATCAGCCACCTCCAGACCTGGGGGCTGTTGACTCTCCATCTGAGGTTTGATGGACGGCCCAGGCTCCACCTCTGTTTCTCTCTCTGACAGCTCCATTCTATCTTCCCCCTTGGAGTTCCCAGGTTGCCCTGATACTGAACCTGACTCCCACCCTTCCTCCTCCTCCTCCTCCTCCTCTGAATCAGCTGCTGGAGGGGCTGGCGGCCGACAGGCCACAACAGAAAAGGAACAAATGGATCAATGAACAATGAACACAGAATTCTCACTCAAAACACAAATGACCAGGCTAAAATTATCTTACTTAGGATGCACAGGCTTAGTTCTTTGGAGAAGGCTCTAATAATGGGAAAGGTGAAAGATAAAGGGAAGAAGAGATGGCCACCAATGTTAATGAGTGCATAGTTTGAAGAGCTGTAGGACCAACTTAGGAGGCAGATAACCATGGTATATAATGGTATATAATCAAGCAGCTTTGTATGTTTTGTTTCAGAATAGTCGCTACAACTTTAAAAGCACAAATATAATGACGTGGGAAAATACCCAAACAAAGCTGAATACCATACATATATACATACATGCATACATATATCACATCTGCTAATTTGATCTGAATACCCCAGAAACATCCATTTTAATTGGTAAAGGATCTTTAGGTTCTCAAAAGTAATTTATTTGTATAGAATACATGGTCCCAAGGTCATGTGAACACCATTTGTAACTTTCCTTGCTGGATTTTGACAAAGTCAACAGGGGAAGTTAACTGACCCACTTAACTATCAGATGATTGACTTAACTGCAGTGATTTGGTTAACAACTGTGTCGAAAAAAGTTGCAAAACGGGGCAAAAACTCACTTAACAACTGCTTAGCAATGGAAATTCTGGGCTCAACTGTGGTTATAAGTCAAGGACTATCCATAACATGAAGAATAACGTATCTTACACACCTCTTTTTACAAGGTATGACCATATCATACTAGTTGACATTATTGCACATGTAGCTCTATAAATGTGTAATCCAGATAGCAGCTGTCACAGAATCTTATGCAAACAAACAAACAAATGCCAGTCCTATCATCTTTTCATTCAGGGCTCAGCAACATGTGGTCATCAGAAGGCCTATAATGAGGTGTACTGAAAACTAAAAACAATTCCTACCAATTTTAAGTGAAAACATGGGAAAACAGAATTGTAGCCATAAAAAGTAAGGTATATCACAATTTTAAAAACAAAGCATCTGCCCACCACTGACCTAATGTGGTTATGTGCTTTTTTGTTTGTTTGGTTTTTTTTTGGGGGGGGATGAAGTCATTCTTTGTTACTGTAATTTGTCTGAATTATCATAGTTTCCCCCGCCCCCCCAAAATACATTTGCTCTGTAAATAACCGAGCCCAATTTGATGGCATCATATTAATCTCAAAGTGATTCTGATCTCTGCCTGGGCACTTTGCATCATCCTAAAAGTTTGCAGGACTGTATTGTTTCCACTTTGCCTCTATCAGCAACATAGTCGACATATATTAAATATTGGAGAAAGCTATAAATTGCGATTTGAATCGCAAAGCCAAACCAGAGCACAAAGCTTTCATTCTAGCAAAACTATGGTTGATGAAAGAAAGAAGGAAGGAAGGAAGGAAGGAAGGAAGGAAGGAAGGAAGGAAGGAAGGAAGGAAGGAA